GAAGAATATGATAGTATATTTGGAATCCCAGAGAGAAGAAATTGAAGTGTATATTAACTGCCCAATTATTCCCTTGCATTATAAAGCAAAGTAATCTTATGCAGACTTCAACACAGTTCTCATGGTTAAAATTTGCATCAGCTCACTTTCAAGGTAACACTTCAATCTTTTATACCACCTTACCTCCTTTTTCTGTATGTGAACTGAACTGATAGTACCTGAAATGCTAACTAAAGTTTCTTGCTGTATTATGGTTTTTCGTAAATAACTTTTGCTAACATTTCTCAATTTTAGAATACATAGTTGTATTTAAGTTAGGTTCAGAGCAAATGCTGCCAAATACAGTTTGCAGAAACTGCCTGAACAAATCCCTAAGATTTCTTGGTAAGGTTTTTCATAAGTGGTTTGCTATTGTCTTCTTCCTAGGGTTGAGAGAAAGTGAGTAACCCCAGGTGACTCAGCTGGCTTTGTGCCTAAGGCAGGACTAGAACTCATGGTCTGCCAGTTTCTAGCCTGATGCATGAACCACTATACCAAAGTGACTTTCAATAAAATTCTAACTATGTGCTTCTAGTGAAAGAAGGAAATGTCAGCATGGTTGACTTCTCCAACATATATTAATAAAAGTATTGCTCTGCTACTACTGATGCATTACTTACTGTTTCGGAGGTCAGTAAAGTTGCTCAAAGTCAGCCATGATTGAAAAAGCTCATAAACCCAGTAGAATAAATAAACTACACTTGGAAAAAACAGATCTAAGTTTTGTTTCTATTCTTCCTTCATAATATCATCATGCTACTTCCATGCCTCTTCAGCGTCTACCAGTCCCAGCCAGAATCATCAATGATTATGAATGTTACATTTTAAAACATGTGAGTGTCTTCAGGTTGCCAACCCCTTATTTAAATCATATTGCAATGAATAGTACAGCATAATAATATGAACTCCTGCTCCAAAATTGTGCCTTATTTAATGAGTAAGTGATGCTCAGTTAACATTCTTAGGGCTTGAATTTAAGAACAGGTTGATTACAGGAGAAGCAATTGCTTCATTGTTTGTTATTCTTCTCCATTTGATGTACTTTCTATATTTGAAGATGTATTTCTAAGGAAGTGTGGATTTTTATGGCCTTTCATTTTGATGAGTTATTTAAGACCTATAAGATATAAAAGTCAACAGAAAGAATCACACCATATTGAATAATTACATCTCTCTCTCCCCCTCCCCCTCACTCTCCCTCCTCTCTCTCATCTTGCAGTCAGATCAATAGTAAATTTTTAAAGTTTCCAATAATCAGTACTGATTCATTCTTTAACAAAAAATGTTGTTGCTGCTTTTAAAATTCCCACTTAAATCTGCTGTATACATATATCTGTTTTGCTCTCATTTCTCTTCAACGTCTTTGCACACAGTTGCACTGATTGAAGATGAGTTCCATATCCCTAAAAAAAATATACATTAACCTTTAGCTATACTATAGTTTTTACCATAGTAAGAGGCAGGGTGGATTTGATTTAAATCAAGTCGATTTAAATCATGATTTAAATCACTAGTCAAAAGGCTTGATTTAAATCAACTCAATTTAAATCATAATTTTTAAAGAGCAACTGTCATCTCTGTCCCACAGCAGCTCCTCCTCTGACCCACTGTTGACTCACTGACAGTCCCAATATTGCAGAATATACAGCCTCATGCTACATAACTAAGCTCCATTTCATGCTGGATAAACTAAATTATTAATGATTCTTAAATAGAAAACTATCTTTAGATAGATTTTTACTCCAAAACCATTTTATTAAAATAAATTGGATAAAAATAAAAAAATCCAATTTAAATAAAAAAATCCGATTTAAATTTTTAAAAATCTGTTTTTTTATTTTTTTAAAAAAAATCATTGATTTTTATCCACCCTGGATAAGAGGTACCTGTTGATGATCCTTTTGATCAATCAGTAGTCAAAGTGCTGGGTATTAATTTGAATTTGGGTTGTTTTGGAGATACTGCAGAATCATATCCCAAATATGGGGTAACTGCGTCCTTTTAGAAACATTATTTCCTTCTCAAGTCCTTCAGAAATTAGCAGTTCCCAGGGCTCCATATCAAGAGTGCCTCCTGATAAGGGAGTTTGCATCCACAACTGGAATCTGAAGTTTGACATTAAAAAAAAAAAAAGATCATTTGTCTTTATACACTTTTTAAAAATAATGAAGTTGGGCTCCAGTATTTCTCTCCCCCCCCCTCTTCTTGCATGTACCATTTCTGGTTAATGCTGGCTTATTTGTTTACACACAGTTCAAGATCTTATTCTTTGAGGCAAGAGATTCATTCTGCAGTCAGAGACTGCAATTTTTTAAATAATATTTTTAATAATTATTTTTCATCACTGGTTTACTTTGCTTTGCTTTGTTTTTTTGCTGTTTCAGAAGTGCTAAGCTTGCCCAAGACTTAATGTATCTTACCTGTTTTGAAACAGTTGGAAATTGTGCTCTTCATTTGAGGGGAAGAACTCTGGGGCCACAAAGAAGTTGCTTAGCATTATGTATACCCAACAAAATGCTCTGTTCGAGAGGTGTGTTTCAGCAGGTTCTCACCAGTTCTGGAGAACCAGTAGTGAAAACTTTGAGTAGTTCGGAGAACCGGTAGTAAAAATTCTGACTGGCCCTGCCCCCATCTATTCTCTGCCTCCCAAGTCCCAGCTGATCGGGAGGAAATGAAGGTTTTACAGTATCCTTCCCCTACCACGCCCACCAAGCCATGCCATGCCCACCAAGCCATGCCCACAGAACCGGTAGTATAAAATTTTGAAACCCACCACTGCTCTGTTCTGCCCTTGAATTTGGGTCAGGGGTTTCCAGCTAGTGTAATATAATGTTTTAGATCACATTGTCTAAGCAAAAATTTAACTATTAAAACTTTTCCCAGCTTGATTCAAGCAATGATGGGGATTGGTTTTGTTTTTGTTTATCACCTGACATCATCTCAGAGACCTTTCCACGGAACACAGTTCATGCATTCAGCTGCACATCTGATGAGGGCTGAAGGCATATAATTAGGGGTCTAAGTGGACTGCAACCGGCAGCCTTGTTTCTGCTTTTAAAGCAGCTTTCTCCAAGCTGATCATTTTCAAGGGCTTTTATACTCAGTGCTAGTTGTATAGTTGTAGTTTAACACAATTGGAAAGCACTTGGTTGGGGAGAACTGTTCTGAAGTATATGTGGTGATGGATATTGAAGCCATTGTGCATGGTTTTTCTTTTCAACTCCTGAATTTGGGCGAGGATAATATATTGGAAGCAAAAAGAAGATAATTTTTATTCTATGATTTTATCACTTGTGTCATTCTGATCTAGATAAGAACCTCACGACTTGATTTAAAAAAAAAACAAAGAAAAAATAGTCAGCTATTTTCAAGATAAGGTCCTTTTACCACATTTGAAGGATGTGAATATAATCTTTGGGAATCTTTTGGGTTATAAAACAGAAGTCCTTCTCAGAAGGGTGAAGGATCTGATCAAAGCATAACATTTTACCAACCAAAAGAATCCTAAAGGGGAAAAATTTTTGACAAATTGTGAGTTTAGGAATGGATAAAATAGAGGATAGTATCTCTTATATTCTAAAGCTCAGCAACTTGTTACGATTTGTTCTTTAACAAATTGGAAATTATTACTATTTGGGAATAGTAGTAATGCACCTAACCTCATATCTGATATTGGTTTTTAGGTTATGATGATCTCATAAAATTAGTCTACATCCTCTTGCATGTGACATCACAAACATGAACACTACATATACATTTTCTTTTGTGGTTATTTGCTAGGATAAAATGTTGTAAGATACTAGGAAGGAGTAACTTGTTGGTGGAAAGGGAGATGGAAACTATGCAGGACAGAAAAAGTTAGGAATCTTTTAGGTTAAATAAGCAGCACTGGGAATTCTTGGCTCAATGTTGAACCTCTGTTGCAGACATTTGTGGCACATTGCATCAACTATTATATATCTGGTTATGGATATGCTTTTTTACAGGATAGCAGTTATTCTCATCTGGGGAGGACTTAACCATCTGCCGCACGATTGTGACTGGCTTAATGCAGATGTCTGAAATAAGGCTTCTGATTGGCCTAGTGTGCAGAATGTTATTCATAATGAATCTAGAAGCACTGAGCATTGTACATTTTGCAGTAATGTTCTTAGTCATCATGGTTATCAGACAGTCCTGAAAAATATATGATCAAAGCTGAAAACATACAGTAATACTATAAAAAAGGCTTAGGGTAAGCAACTGTAAGTTAATTTTGAATTAAGCATCCATTGTGTCCAATTTGTCCATTGAACGTATCTGCTCAAGTAAGCAGTTCTTTGCAATGATTTTAGGAATAGATTCTCAAAACTACAAGCTGTGGCTCTTTTTAGCTACAGTGAATAGCAGTCTGGGCCTTCTGCACATACACTCAGTGCTCTGTCATATAATATGCCTCCTCTTCCAAAATATGGCTTCCCCAACAACTTCAGAAGATTGCCCATCAGAGACCTAAGACTTACAGAGGGTATCGTATTTGTTTACGAATTGTCTCCAGTGCAGAAGTCTTCCTAAATGTTTCCAGAATTTCCTGAAATTGCATTGTTGAAACTTAGAAACAAATTGGCATTAAATCAAGATATAAGCCCTTGCTGATTTTTGGCACTAAATGAAAGAACTTAACTCAAACATGCCTATTGTAAAAGGAAAAGAAAGTCGTTACTGTCAGCCAGCAACATTTTCAGTTCACTGTGGCGTTGCAGAATGACATAATATATAGATCCTGGCTGTCAAATGGTTACCACCTTGCTTTAACTAATGTCATCTTACAACTGCAATGGAGTATTCTGCATTATTATGAAGATCAGATATTAGCTTAGTAAAATGTGTGTGTTGGTGTTAGGCTTGCTTACGGTTTGTTTGTTATTAAACATATCATCATCTACCAAGTTCTCAGTATTGCTTGTTATCTTTTGTTTTAGAATGTAACAAAGACAGTGGAAGAAGCAAAACCTAAACCTCCTACTACCCAAGAGCTGAAAGAGATGATTAGCAATTACAACTCAAAAGTCAACAATTGCTTGCTGATGAAGCTGGTTGGTATTGCAATTATGGATATTTCCTACTTTTGTTGTGATGGCTCTTAAAACTATTTTCCCTTTCAGCATTTATGATGGGAAGCTTGCTTAAGTTCTGGGGGGAACCCATCTGTCTACTACTCTAGGAGCCCCAGAAAAATGTGGACATCTCCATCTTTAATAATTAAAATAACAATGAAATCCTGTCTTCTGTTAACTGGTATTGTCTATAAAAAGAATGGGTATGTTTACTAGGCTGTGCAATAATTTGGATTCAAAGGTGAAACAAATTACACCTTCAGCATATATTTGCAATTTCTTCTTCAACCAAATGCCTCTTTTCCTGGGATCACTCAGTAGTGCAGGAGCAGAATATCATGAAAAAGTGTGGTAGCTTTAAGGAGTGCTATGTATATCCTTGCACCCTTTGAACCACATTTTGCCTTCAAGTATGAATGTTTACTTTCTGAGATTTTGATAAGAATGGCCAGACCAGTTGGACTATATAAAATAAAAGTGCTGGTGTTTTATGGATGACTATTAAGTAAATGATTATCAAAAACAGTTTTTTTCATACCTTTCCTCCCTTCTCCTCTGGGAGCCTTCAGCCACATGATGAGTGTAACGACCACATTTGTTGTATGCATTTACTTGCATTTGGATTTTCTGTTATTTCATGGATCCCTTATAAGATGTACACCCTTTATAGGCCTTTGGTTAGGCTAGTTTGCAACAGAACTTAGCAGGAGGCCATCTTATTGAGGAACTCAGACAGATTTTAAATAAAACAAATATTTGTTGTTTATAACTGGACTAAATAATTTTTATCTGGATTAAAAAGCACTAGCTTCATTCCCCAAGGTTAAGATATCTCACAGGGTTGTGGCATGAGAGAACAGGATACAAGGAAGATAGATAAATAGGCATAAACCCTGCTTTAGCAGATAATTGGCTATACTTCTAACATTGGAGTCTACATTCCCATGGCACTAATGTTACTGAAATTCTGTGGATTGGTACACAGTTTATTAGCACAAATGGGCAATTTTGGCAGGAATCCACTTTTAAGGATCAGCTTTATTTACTTTGTTTTAATCATGGTTCATAGAGATTCTGATTAAAGCATGATTTTTAAGAGGCTGGTTCAAAGGAAAAACACTCTTTGAACTGAGGAGGGTTTGGAGGTATCTCTCTATGAGCTGAAGTTTCCTCAACCTGCTATTTAAGTGATTTGAACCATATAGCAGCTGTGGGGTGACTGTAGCTAATTTGAGTCTTGCAAACATTCTGTAGTGTCTGCAAATGTTCTCTGAATATCAACTAATGATTTTACCAAAATAGCTATGCCTGTATTATTTTAGATATTTGAATTGACACAAATCCAATTTATCGCTATGCGAAGTGGTTCAACATCTGTCTCAGTTGCATTTATGGAAGAAGAACATTTTTTCCGCCACAGAATAAGTATCAGCCAAAGTGCAGAGAGCTGATAAATTCCCCTTTAATGTGCATTCTTATGTTTTTTCCCCTTTTAGTATGTATAAGGACCATCATTGACAAATCCATTTTTGGGGGGGATACTGTTTTTTTATTTGATCCAAAGTATCCTAGATAACTTTCAAATTAACTGGATAAACCAGTTATCTATTTATTTAAATACTTGCATTCTGTCTTTCTAAAGAAAACAACTTGCCACAAAGAATTGTGTGGCTTAAAATACCCCAAAGAAGAATTAGAAGAACACTGCAACCAAATAACAGACTTGCAAGTACGAATCATTGACATTGACTCTCCCAGCCACTGGAATTCTGTGGCTTGACCTTGCTGCCCTTCTAGAGTTGCCAGCTCCTGAAACAGCAATGAAGTTAAAGGACTGCATTCCTTTGCACATCACCTTCCCTTCCCCCAAAAAATCAGCTGTAGAAACAACGCAGTACCAAAAGAACTGGAGCAAGTAAAATAAATGAACCAAGTATTCACCTCTTGATTCTAAAAAGAAAATTAAAAAAATGGTACCTAGAGGAATCAAAAACTATGGCTGGACCAGGCTTTAGAATTGTAGTTCATGTGTTGAAATCAGAAAATTGCACTGATTTTAGTGGATCTTCAAATATAAATATGAATGGATTCAATCAATGAAAAGTGTTAATTAGAAAAGAAAAGAGTGTGTCTTGGTAAAGACTGTAGTCTGAATGAGGTAGTACTAACAAGTCTTCCCATTCATAAAAAGAGATTCAATTCAGCAGAATTTGAATCTGGTTTTCTATGTCACTGCCAAGGCTGTCCCTAATCTGATTATAGACTTTCCATTTAAAATAAAGAGAATGAACAAAGTAATTTCCAATTCCTAGGAAGAGACCTCCTTATCTTCAGAACAGTAATACTAAAGGCGGGGATGTTATGTATAAATTTTAAAAAAGCTAAAGTGATGATTACAATGATTATTTTTATTCTTTATTTCTCTCGCGCATTGAACCTGCTTGGAACCACCAGAGAGTATTTGTGAACATGTTTCAGAAAGTGAATATATGTCATCATATATTCCAGGATATTACATAGCTGGAGTACGTTAGTTTTAGAAGTTGCTTGAGTGCAAAAACTTTCAGATTTTCTTCAGAAAAAAAATCTGAATTGCTTCTTCCAAGTCATTTAGGAAATATAGATCAAAGAAAAGGTAATCTGCATTTAACTAATTTTTTTTTCATTTTTCCCAATCCCCAGAATGATGATGGCACTTATACAGGTTTCATCAAAGTGCACCTAAAACTGAGGCGTCCTGTGACAGTCCCAGCAGGGATTAGGCCACCATCTATTCATGATGCCCTCAAGGAAGTCAATTTAGCTAACATGACAGAGAAAAGAACATCATTCTATCTACCCTTGGATGCCATCAAACAGTTACATATCAGCAGCACAACAACTGTGAGTGAGGTGATACAGGGACTCCTGAAGAAATTTATGGTGGTGGACAACCCACAGAAATTTGCACTTTTCAAACAGATGGAGAAAGATGGTCAAGGTGAGAAAGATACAGAATAACTATTGCAAAAAGCTTTCTGCCCTAAAAGTGACAATTTATGCAAGTGGTCCATCTGTGCTGTCTATCATAGGTGCTGCCTCTGCTCTGCTCCCTAACAAGTCTGCCAGGTTCTCATCGTCTTTTGTTATAGCGGTCCCCTCTATAGCAGAGAAGCCCAAACCAGTTAAACAATAAGCAATCAAGTCAGTGCTAAGTAAAATCATACAATAAAACTTGAAATTCTTAAAACAATAAATACAAACATTAGAACAAGATTTGAGTTGTTGTTGTTTTTTTTTTTAAAAGAAAAGCACTAGAGAGCAGAAAATAAATAAAAATGTTAATCTAATCAAGCTTTCTTTCAACTATATTAGCTCTGGCCAGAATAAACTTCAATAACCATGGTAAAAATTTTATTAAAAAAATAATAAATCTATTGGAAAGTTACATATGAAGAGCCTTTAAAAAGATATTTTAGGGACCTTTTTATAGAATCTTTATTTCTGTTTTGTTCACAGCATGGCACACATCCAAATATAAGATCAAAAATTTCAAGTCTATTTTCATAGTCTTCGGTAGAACCATGAATGGAATCATGCTTCACTTTTCTTGGAATTAAATATGATTTTATTAAAGTACAAATCAGCTTGAATTGGTTTTCTCCATGTTGTATTTTGGATTTAATGTACCAAATGAAGAAAATATAGAACTTACTCATTTGGGGATGTATCTGGAGAAAAAAAAATTACTTGTTTATAAAACTTAATTTCTGACAAGTATCTAATCCAATCTAGGATGTCTTTTAAACCAGGCAATGCTTGGCTTTAAGAGAAGCTTGCTAAATGACCATGGAGAGTCAGTGTCCAAGATCAGTATAAAAGAAATCTTATTGTAATGGGCAGGGATAATCATGTACGACATGGGACCTCCTAATGTGGTAGCTACAAGAGCTAAAATAAAGACATAACTATAGCTTTACCTGAACTTATAGCTCAATGATAACATTTGCTGTTCAAACTTAGTGTCCCAGATTCACCTTATGACAACTTCAATTAAAATTATATCAAAATTATAAATGGAGACATTTTAGAAAAGGGGTCAACCATTGCTGGGTTAGATGGTTAATAACTGCATCCATTAAAAACACAGAATTTTGATTTAGAATCATAGAATTGGCAGGGGCTATTTAGACTGAATCCACAAATTGAATCTAGCCCTTCAGGAACCCAGGTTAAAGCATGCCAAAAGGGAATGAATTACAACTTCACATCAATGGCTTCAGTGCCAAACCACTCATCATACTTTTTTTCTTTTTACTAATATTCAATAGGAATCTCTTTCCTGAAGCTTGAAGATTGAGAATCTCTCTCAGCCTTCTTTTCTAAAGGCAAAGCATTTCCAAGTACTTCAATTTCTCTTCATAAACAATGATAATTCTCATGGTTCTTCTCTGATTCAGATTTATTTTGTCTGAGTCCTTAATATATGATATCTGGAAGGAGGTCTGATTGTGGAGTGGAATGTGATGCAAAACTAAGCTAAGCTCACTGGGTGTTTTGTAGTTACTTTATACTGCAAATTTCTTTTCAAATTTGTAGTCAACTAATATTCCAAAATCTTTTCACAAATGTTACTGTCAAACCAGATATCCTCCATCTTACATCTGTTTTCTAATTGCATTGTTTTCAGTTGCTGCCGTTAATTCTATTTGGTTATTATCTCTTCACTTCTCTAATCTATAAACATCACTTTAAATCTTATTTCTGTTTTCTATTTGTGTTATCCGTACATTAGTAAGTATTCCTTCCCTCTCTTCCTCCTGTTAAAAAGATAAAGGATACAGGGCCTATGATTGAACCTCATGGTTCTCCACTTTATTCCTCTCTGCAATTCTTTAACCTAGAGTTGTTTTCTTCCCTATGACGGCTTTCAGTAAGGGTAAACAGTAGGTGTTCATGTCCAGTTTTGAAAAACAAACAAGAAATTGCTGTAAAGGAAGGAAGAGCTGAAGATCTTTAACGAGAAGCAGTAGCAGCCTTTTCTATTCATTCTCCTAGAGCAGTGATGGCTAACCTTTTTACCATCGTGTGCCAAAAGTGGGGAGAGCGGGGGGGTCACACGTGTGTGTGCCCACATTCATAATTCTATGCGCCCTGCCCCCACACATGTGCATGTGACACACACACCCCCGCACTCCCCCAGCTTTTGGCACGTGATGGCACGGTGGGCCCGGTAGTCCCATTTTTCACCCTCCCCAGGCTCCAGAGCCTGTCAAGCTCCTAGAGGTGAGGGGAGGGTGAAAATGGCCTTCCCCACCCCCTTGGAGGTCCTCTGGAGGCTGGAAATAGCCCGTTTGCTGATTTCCGGTCCCCCGGAGGGGCTCCGGGGGGGGGGAGGCTGTTTTTGCCTTTCTCAGGTTCCTAGAAAGGCTCTGGAGCCTGGTGAGAGCAAAAAACAGGCCTTCCTCACCCCACCTCCCCAGGCCCTCCGGAGGCAGGAAACAGTCTGTGTCCCTACTTCCGGTGGGCCCAGAGGGCCCGAAGATCAGCTGGCTGGCGCATGCATGCACGCTGGAGCTGAGCTTGCATGCCCACCAATATGGCTCCATGTGCCACCTGTGGCATGCGTGCCATAGGTTCGCTATCACGGTCCTAGAGGATCTGTGCATATGCCTAGCTATAATTACATGTGCAAACCTGAAGAAATTTGCATTTTCTGTTCAAAGATCCTAAGTGATTATCATTGCCTTATCTTTTGCAGTTCTTTCCCAGAAGCTTCCAGTCACAGAATGCCCTTTGTACCTCCGGCTCCTAGCGGGCCCTGACACGGATATTCTGAATTTTGTGTTGAAGGAAAACGAAACGGGAGAAGTTGAGGTAGGTCTGATTGAGGTGTAGTTTTTGTTATTATTCCTAACTTGCAAAGACACACAAAAATAGAACCACATTACACAAGCTGTGATTTGAATCTATAGAAGAGAATCCGAGTGGGTGGAAAGCAGCTGTTTCATCTTATTAGTTCTTATAATAAACATAATTAGATACTTGTGCTCTAGAATAAGTATAATATTGAAGCAAATACAAAAGCAAGGAGCATTTCATATCTCATTTAATCATTCTTTTAAAATATTAAACATGATTAATAAAGTTTAATTATACAGGACAAAATAACCTCTCTGCAGAGTTCTGGTGTTTAAAATCCAGCTATATATAACTAAATGTTCAGGCTTCAGAACACAGATTAACCAGGCACCAATGAAGACATTCTTCTGTGCTTCAGAAGTACGGGACTAAGAAATAAAGGACCAAGCTCTGAGTCATAAGAATTATTTCCAAACTGAAAATAAACCAGACTTTCAAACCTTGGAAATAATAGTTCAAGATGCATTCCTTAAAATTTGAATTGTTTGGAAGTTCCTAGATGAGAATTTATTTCAAGGTAACTAATAGCAAGGCTGATGATGAAAGAAATCAACTTTCTTTCCTATAAACCCCTCTGGGTTTATAGATAATGTCCTCAGCTTTTACTCATAGTAATAGCTTGGTAATTTGTCTTGCTGCCATCTCAGGGAGTATCTCAACTGACATCCCCCCACAATTCCAGTGTGCAAGAGAGGGTCCAAACTTTATTTCTTTTCTTTTTTTTAAATGTATGAAATCCTTTTTATTATTAAGTATCCAGCAGGTAAATGTTCAATTTCAGTTATGAACTACTAGACCCATCTGTCTGCACGTTCTTTGAATTTCAGCCACAAATAATGACAAAACAAGTAACTCTAGTAAGTTAAGTCAAGTAATCACCCTTTGCAGATATGGGCCTTTTTGTGGTTGAAAGTTAGACAACTACCATGTGTATAATCTTTCCTACAGGTAGTTTCTCTTATTTACCCTGATAGTTTCAGAGTAACAAGCTCATGACTTGAGGGAAAATAGGATTACAAAGGATTCATTATTTTGGGATGTGGTTTTCTTCTGGCAAATTAAACTCGTTGCAACTGATGTTTTTCACAGGTTACAATAGCGTATTCCCCCCATCCCCTCCAGCCATCAGTTTAAAGCCTCTCTGTCTGTTTACTTCTTTAGTGGGACAACTTCTCCATTCCAGAGCTACAGAATTTTCTAGTAATACTAGAAAGGGAAGAAAAAGACAAAATCCAGCAAGTGCAAAAAAAATACAACAGGTTTAAACAAAGACTGCAAGAGGCCTTGAAAGAAGCAAATGGGAAGCCCGGATAACCAAGTATGGCTAGCAAAAAAACTCAATTTTAGAGTCTAAATAAATAATTAAATATATTTAAAAGAAATTAAAAACAAAACCGAACAACAACTTTTACTTTCTCAGGACACTTTTCAGTTTGGTTGTAACCCAAGCTTTGCTTAGAACTGGTAGATACAGACAGGGGAACTGACCCTCTAGTACCAGAAGCGGTGGCTGCTTTTCCTTCTCCATGGTCGCACTGCCTGGAAACTCTGCAACGATGCTGAATGTCTACTTTATTGGTTGGTTTATTGTACAAATGTTAAGGCTGGAATGAAATGGCTATCTCCCCTTCCTGCCATCCTGATACCTCACCTGTGGATTTGTGTTATGTGCAGTCGACATGTATAGTAAAGTGTTCTCTGTGATCAACTCATCCACATAACCATCAGCAAACAGAAGAACCTTAGTCTGATATAAGTGAGACACATCATAAAAAATGCCAAACGTATTGTTGCACAAGAAAAACGAACTGAACAATTGCCAAGGAAGTGGCAGAATAGCGGCATGACTTCAGGAATGGCTGTGGACATGAGAAAGAGTACATTTCTCGGAGGAAAAAAAATCCCTCTGATTTTAGGATTCTGATATAAATAGGGTGTGGCGTAGCCCTACAGTTGGAACCCGCTTTGCCCTAATGCGGAACCAGTTCTGAAGGCTTTGGCAGCTGATTGTTATATTTACCTTTATTAATATACGTTGGAAGCATTAGTCACATGTTATCCTAGAATTTATGTGAAGCCTCTGAAAGGAAATAATCTTGGGTGCTATTGAGACTCATAGTAGAAAATGAGTTGCAATTTGCAATTGCTCAGCTTACTGGCTCTTTCACTTTGCAGGGTCATGCCACCTGATTAAAGGTGCAAGTTCCAAATAGCTGGCTGTTCCGTTTCTGTTTTGGAAACCTGAACTGGAGAAATAAAAAGTAAATGTGACAATAGAACAAATATTATGAGAGATGGGCAATGCATTTGAAAACATGGGCATTGTTATCTAAGCTCTTATAGTTATATAGAATTTCCTGTTTGACTGAATGCCTCTGATGTAGTTGCAGGTGTATGGGAACAACTTCTGCAAGATGATCTCCTGTATTTGGAACCCGACTCTGAATTATGCACTCGCTTACAATAGGGATGGATAAATTGGGAATATATATGGCAACTTTAGGGTAGTCAGGCACAGTTTACAAATGTATTGGATTGTCTCACATTGGAGTGGCTGATAAAACTGGCTGCAGTTTGCTAGATGATGTAGAATATAAGGCATTATTCTCCTGTTTATAAGGTTGGGTGAGACAAATGATTCCTTCATTGTTTTTCCTGCCCCACCCTTTTCTCAGTGTAGTTTCAACAATAGTTCATTGAGTCAAACTAGGTTTCATGTATTTCCCCTTTGAGGGCTAACTTAATCATGCATTAGCCATTTAATCCAGCGTGTAACTGTCTTGACTTGGCTGACTGAGCAAACTCGAGGCTCCCTTTCCCCTGCATTGCAAATACTAGCCTGTTTTTTAAAACAAACAGGATCATTTTTCTTACATTAATTTGATAATTAAGCCAGTACCAAGACTCTAATTTTATTAGGCCAAGAGTTAATCTGTTGTCAGAACCTGATGAAGCCTTCTTTGAAGATTCTTTAAGCATATTGGGAGGGGGGGCATATGAAGGGAAAAAGATGTTTCCAGCTCTAGCATTGCGGGGTTATGCATAGAGGTGTACCTTGCAATAAAAAGAAATTAATCAATCAGAAAAAGCAAGGAACAAATTTAACTACTGTATTTTTCGGTGTATAAGACACGTTTCCCCCCCCAAAAGTGGGTGGAAATGTCTGTGCGTCTTATAGAGCAAATGTTGCCGAAGCCCTGCCCACCCACCAGCCCCCACACTTCGGCCTCTGCCTCCCAGCAATTTGTCTCCTTGCAGCAAACAGCCTGGTCAGCTTCAGCACAGCCTGATTTAGCACAAGCAGCTGAATGGCGGTTGGATCTGCCTCCCGGAATACCCCCTATCAGCTGTTCCAGGCTGTGGGGATTGCTGCCGCCCATCACCACTGTCCTGCCCATCGATGCCTCCACGCCATTTCCGGCCTATGCGCATCCCATTTTTGGCCTGTTCCAGGTGGTTGGAAGCAGCAGCGGTGGCAGTCCCCACCGCCTGGAACGGGCCAAAAATGGGACACCTGGAGGCCAAAAACAGGGCGCGTGGAGGCTTAAAATGGGGCGTGCGGAGGCAGTGATAGGTGGCGGCGATCCCCGCAGCCTGGCAGAGGCAGACTTTTTCCCCTTATTTTCCTCCCCAAAAGCTAGGTGCGTCTTATAGTCCAAAAAATATGGTAAATTCATGCTGAAGCAAAGCTACACACCATCTTCCTCAGGACTGTAGAAATGATTGATGAAACAAAAAATGTGAAACCCCAGGAGTTTTCATGTCTGCATAGTTAGAGAAAAGGAAGAGTGAAGCCAGTTTTCTTAAGTCATTAAAGATCTTCTCTCCAAGAGGGATAATATATATACTGTTTTATTTTCATCAAAGAGGAAGGAGAACTATTTCCTGCTCTTCCCTTTGGCATGTCTTGAACATTTCTATAGAAGGCATGGCTTCTTATGCAATTGATGTTAATGCTGCTGACTAAGCCTCCTGTATATAGGCAGGTGGTTGGGTTTTTTTTTAAATATTATATAGCTAGGGGCATTAAGCTGAGGAAAAAAGATGATGCTTAGAATGGGAGAGAATGCAGAGCCGTTTGATCTGTGGTAGAACAAAAGCCTTAGGTGTGGAGGCCCCTACTTAAAAAGCGCAGACTACTGCTAGCAGTGCCTTTGTTTAGTATATTATGTTGCTTGCATCTGTTTGTGTGTGTGTGTGTGTGTGTATTTTTGTTCAGAATGGTCAGCTACGAACACATATATACAGTCTGTATAGAATGGAATTAGTGAAAGCGTTTGTGGACAAAGTAAATACATTTTTGCAATGCTGTAAGTTATTTTTACTACTGTTTCAGCCCTGTGACTTTTTTTAATGTCACCATCTGACTTTTTTTTTAAAGTTCCTTCTCAATTTGGTTATATGATGCAAACTGTTGTAAGAAACTATTAAAAATAAAGGATATCTGATATAAAGAATGAGTTCTTCCCTCTTAACTCTCTTGTGTTGGGTTCGCTTAACGTTACACACGTTATTGTATTTTAACAGAGATGTTATTTTCTACTTCACTGACTCACTATTAGGCAAAGGATCTTGAACTTCCTCTCTCCCAGTGTGACCAAGAGAAATCTTTTAGACTTTATTTTTCTATGCAGCTTATCTATTTGGTACCATTTCCTTTTGATTTATCCTATATACAGCATTTCGTCTACCTCTGCGTGAGCAGGAAACATATTCCAATAAATCACACAATTTAGATCAACATCAATGCACACTCTGCATTCCATTTGAGTTCATACTTCAGCCACTGCATGTTGGTCAAGAGTTATTCCACAGAGCTATTCGGTAGCCATGCAGGAGAGAGAGAAAATAATTGTCTAAAAGCTGTTATGATTCAGTTAAAGTGCTGAATTGGGGAGATCGAATTTCAAGTTCGTCATCCATGGAAGCCAGGCCAATTGCACTCTCTCAGGTTTAGCTACTTCCCAGCTCTTGTGGGGAACAGCTTGAGTACCTAGAGGAACAGTGGGATATAAATCTAATGAACGCTTTAAGCCAAGGGGCATTTTTGCACTCTGTGACGCCACTCTGCAGTCCTTGGTAGCTCTTCAACCTATAACCTCTAAAAACTGGCTGAGTTCAAAAACACATGAAAACTATTGTGAAAGTTCATTTCACAATTTAGAAAAAGAAAATTTCCTGATTACTGTTTTTTTTTTAAACTATCCCTGTTTATTTACCTGATGAGGTTCCATCTATTTGCAGCCATCAACTTTTAAAAATTAACTGTTGCCTTTTCACTGAACAAGTTGGCCATCTTGGTCTTTTCTTGACTCATCTTTTCAGTTTTCCTTGCAGCAAAGTTCTTCTAGTCTTTCCTATGACCTTCTCCTATTGTTATCTTATTATTTATTGCTTCTTTGTATCTTATGATTTATGATTGTATCGTATGATTTATGATCTATGACTTACCACTGTGTTGTTTCTATGTACATTGACAGCTTATGCACTGGAGACAAATTCCTGGTGTATCCCATCACACGGCCAATAAAGAATATTCCATTCCATTCCATGTGCTAGGTGCAGGAATAAGGTACAAATTGCTATCATCCTTGTTCAGTAGAAACAGTTCAAAATAAACAGTTATTAAGTGGGATGAATTATATTGTTGCTAACACAGATATAGTTCTATTCTGATTATATGGTACTTTGATTATATGGTACTATGAATTTTTTGAATAGCCAGTATACAGACTTAGCTTTTAGTTTTAGTATCTTATTCTGGTAAAAGCTGAGTTATAAATAAAGAGATAGGTTGGGAAAAAACACACACAGGTATCTGGGAAAAGTCTTTATTTTATCTATTAAATAAAAATAGTTTATTTATAAGGCATTTGGATTCAGTTTCACTGAATAATATATTTATAACATACTCTTAATCTGAGGTACAGGCTTGGCTACTTTTTCCGCCCCATTTTTGGTGCTTTCTTAAGACCTTGGATATAACTGCTAGGTATCTGGTAGTCCTCTGCAACAGAATCAAACAATAATATTAGTCACTTTACATTTAGCACTAAAGTGTTTACAACACAATAGGAACTGCAGCGTACTAAGACTTTAAACATCCTGAAAATCTGAAATCGTATCAGTGGTTCTTAGATGTTGCTATCATAGGCAGTGGTGAGAGATATTGGAAACTAGTTCAACAATATTTAGATAACCTGCCACCATACTATATAAAGAACTAACAATATGTATAATAGCCATTCTACTTTCCTTTATATAGAAAAATGCACTTGGAACAATTTTTGTGAATACCATAAAGCAGTGTTTCTAAATTCAGCAACTTTAAGATGCATGGACTTCAACTTCCAGAATCTCACAGCCAGCAACCTGTCCATGCATCTTAAAAGTTGGGGAGGCGGAGAAACATTGCTTTAAAGTGGTTAAGAAATACTTTTTAATTCAGCATAACCACTTAAGATTGATGAATGTTACAACCCCAAAATCCATCAACCAGTCATAATTTGTAGCACTGAACAAATGGGCTGTTTACTAGAAAAGTGGCAAATTGGTATATATACTCGCAAAGAAGTTTCTATTAGTGGCATCAGAACTAGTTCTGGAATCACTGCTTGCTAAAAACATTCAGATGTTTCCATTCTGATCAAAAGTAAAAGGAAATGTCCCTTTGATACATTGGGTTTTCTGTTCTGATGCCACTAATAGGAACAAAAATAAATACAAGCAAATTGATAATATATTCTCAGTGTCTCAGCAGGTGGCAGCACCTGAGCAACTTTGCTTGGTCTTACAAACCACATAGGGTTGGGTTGGGTTGGGTTAGTATTTGGACGGGAATCCTTAGGGGACTTCCCAAGGTTAATTATTAGATTGGAAAGTAAAAATAAAAGAAGGGGACAATGGCAAACTAATTCTGAGATTCTACCAAGAAAACCACCTGGAACTATCTATGAAGTCATCAGGAATCCACCTTCATTCAAAGAGGATGATTTATGAATACTATTATAGCATGCCAAAAATACTTTACCTAAGAGCAGTTTAGCAAGATGATTGATCTGATTGCCCTGTATCTGGACTTGTGATCTGTCCTTTGCTCCAGGGATTGCGACAATAGTGGCGCTAGCTTGAACCTTTTGCTGAAGGGTACTAGCAACAGCCTGAGGGTCCAAACCATACCACTCAAGATTCTTGATTATTGTTACCTAGTAACCAAAACAAAAAAGGGCATTACAAAATTAATTGTAATATTGGGCTGGCATGCCTTCTTAAATAAAATACATGGTTACTTTCAAAGACATTATATTAGGAATGCATTATTGTTAGTGTGGGAGAAAATTAAAGGACAATATTATTTGAGGATACCGGTTTGGCTTTCAACAATGGAAGCACTGATTCACCCAAATGTTATTAACATGGAAAATCTTGTTAGATACAAAGATATTTTGAATGAAAAGAGGGAACTCAAAACTAAACAAGAATTGCGCGATCAAGGGATTGATATGGCATGGTACTCACAAGTGCAGATACATTCTAGATATGAGAAAGATGTTAAACTATGGTTTTTATAATGAACTAACAGAACTAGACAAGATATTAACAGGGACAGAAGGAAAACTGATAAAGAAAACGTACAGCTACTTATTAGACATGAAATTGGAAGAAAGACAAGTAAAGGAGACAATGATAGTATGGGCAAAAAACTTTGGTTATACAATAGAGTTAGATAAATGGCAGAAACTGTGGGAAAGGAACTATAAATTAACAACATCAACTGAATACAAAGAAAACCTGTATGTTTTATAGATGGCATTTTGCACCAGCGAGGTTGACAAAAATGTTTAAAGATAAGTCGGCTAAATGCTGGAAGTGCCACCAGATACCTGGGTCATATTATCATTTTTGCTCAAAAGCAAAAAAAAAATTGGACAAAAATACATACGTGGCTGGAAAAAATGATAAAGCAGCATATTGATTTATGCTAAACAGAAATATTCTTGTTGGGGATCTTACCCGAAAAATATAGTAAGGGGAATGCATATTTAATTATCCATATATTAACTGCAGCTAGAATTGTATTTGCACAAAATTGGAAAAGTGAAGAAATCCCCACAGATAAGAATGTGATCAGGAAAATATTAGAATGTGCAGAAATGAACACTAGCAATTAAGGAGAAAGAATAAACTGAATACTATATGACATGGGATTTATTTTATCAATGGTTAGATAACAAAAATGGAAGTTAGAAACAGGGAAACAAAAGAAAAAGAAGAGTGAAATAAAGAAGATACGTTAAGAGAGAAGTAAATTAAAGAATATGGTTGTAAATCTTGATTATCATTTTACAAAGATATTTGTACCTGGCGACACACTGTTTAATTGAAGATGGAATTATTATATTAAAAAATAAAAAATGTATTAAAAATTAATTGTAATATTGACACTAACTGGAAACCTACTGTAAGAATTTAGGGTATTACTTTTATGTGAATATGCTCTAGTTTATTGACACTTTTCAAGCTGTGGGGTGTGGGGAGATACAAATCTTCTTACCATGCATATTAATCATATCTTTACATGTCTTTAGAAATCAACATACATATCTTTAGAAATGCTAATTTGACAGCATATCTCCAAAGGGGGCATAAAAAATTATGAACCTGTTTAAATTTATTTAGTTCTAGGACTTATGTGAAGAACAGATCATATTTTAGTTCATGATTATGCAGAAATATTGAACATTCAAAAAGATTCACAAATTTAAAGCATTGCTGTATTATTACATCTGGGTGGCTTAAATGAATGATCCACACAAGCATGTTACCCTTCTTCCTATGATAGATTCTGGACAAATGCAGTTGGGACTTCTGCTCAGAAGTCCTCAAGTTGTGACTCTTACCTTTTTATTGGCTGATCTCTGTGCTACGGTTACATCAATTGGAAGAATATTTCCTTTTCTCACAACAGGTGCTTGTCCCCAAAAGGTTACCTGATGGAAGGGTTCTAGTCTGTTTAGACACCTGCCAGTAAATTAGAAAATGTTAAGCTTAATCTAGTAAAAGCTTTTGAGATGGTTCTTTCAGCATTTATGCTTAGCCATTCCTGATGTCCAAAATTGCCAACTACATCTATCCATTTAGTACATAAATGGGTGTGAGTATGTTCCTATTAAAAATATTTCAGGAACAAGAATTTATTTCTGGGCTTGAAATGTACTATTTCTCTTAGCAGGTCATTTATTTTATAGTAAAGTCAAACTAACCTACCACTGTTAAACATTGGGAAACCTATGCTGAAGAGGCAAACATTAAAAACTAGGCAACAAAAATCTTATCTTGCAAACAGTTCTCGAACAGTACATATTGAACAAGAAGTGCAACGTGCAGAATTTTTGAAGTCATGCAAAACATCCAAGCAAGGTGCTTTATATAAAATAAAATGTGAATGAAGTATTTTACCTCTTTCATTAAAGCTACTGCAACTTTTGTAAAGCTTGGAAGGCTGCTTCAAAAGTGTGTCCATTCAGCCACTATGATTTCTTTTCCTTCCAGCGAAGAATTTCAACTACTTTTCCCATTGACTGACCATTGGTTATGAAATAACTCTTACAGTGGGTATCATCTTAGATACATCACAATTCACCAAATGTTACTTTATTGTAAAGCAATCAGCCATGCTGATTGAAAATTCTTGAATTATGGTCTCAATAGAGAGGACTCAAGATTGGGGAAGGTAGATTTACTTTATAAGGAGAGCCTATATCAAATATATAAAACAACACTATGAATTAGTCTTCTCTCACCTGCTGAGGAGATCATCCCACTTGAGTTTTGAGATTTCATCTTGCTCTGCTTTGTCCAACAGACAGTCACACAAAATTGGATTTACCTTTACAAAGCTGTGATAAAAAAGAAACACATTTTCATCATGATTTACTCCCTACACCAGTGTCAATAATGTGCAACACTTAATTTTTACTGTATCAGATTGGTTTAAATTTATTGGAACTACAAATATGAAGGGTTTTGCCATCTACTTTTTGCAGTTTAGAAAGGTAAATTAAATTAAATTAAATTAAATTAAAGATAGACTTCTCCCAGCCAAGGTAAACAATTATCAGATAATTATAAACTAGATAATTACAAGTTACTAATCTGTGGAGTACTTGCTGGGGAAAGTGTATGTAATGATTAAAATAACAAACTTACTGATTTAATCAATTTTATTGTTGATGGCGCTATCTAAACCTGAGGAAGTACTTCCTGATTCAATTAGCTGCTAAATTAAGAGTACAAGTTCACAAGGCCCATGCCAGGCATGAAAGACCAGGACCACACATGAAGTTCCAACTAAACTGACTTACTACTACTCATTCCTATGCACAGGAATGTACTCAACAAACGATTTGTACTATTTGGGCACTGGATAATGGCCTATGGCAGTGTTGCATGTACGTGCCAGGAAGATGATCTTCCGATTTCTGGTGTGCACATCTGTGCCGGCCAGCCAGTCTTTGCACACGCATGTGCACCAGAAACCAGAAGACCAGGTGGCTGGCACACATGCGTGTGCCAGAAACCGGAACATCATCTTCCCAGCATGTGCATGTGTGCCGGGCAGCTGCTCTTCCGGTTTCCGGCGCTCCCATACGTATGAAGACGAGCTGGTCAGCATGCCGGAACCCGGAAGAGCACTCTCCCACGTGCCTGGAGAGATGGTTCTGCGTGCCACTTCCAGCACGCGTGCCATAGGTTCGTCATCACGGGCCTATGGAATTCAAGAGGGGTTGGACTTAAGTCAGTTTGTAGTGACATAGAGACTCTAGGCTGATTTCTCTTTTGATTCCACTCCAAGGTTCTGCCACTCCTTTTCCTGTACCCCATACTCATATATGTATGTTTACATGTGTTTGTGCATGGGGCAATAGTAAGCACCTCTGATCACAAACCATATAATAATAAGACTTCCAGAAAATGCCTATCTCATTTTATTTTACTAGATATAGGAAAGGACCAGGATGGGACTAATCACTTGTGGGACTGAACATTCAGTTTTGGAAGTAGAAACATATGAGCCCAGAAAGCTATATCATAAAATCCCAGTGTGATCATTCCATGCCAATGGTATAGAGCCAATAAGCAAATATTCTGATCTCTATGCTCAATGGTTTCATTTCTTACATACTTTTTGTTTATTTCATCAACCAATTCATTAGCCTTCACATAGCTGATTATCACACTTCTCACTTCACTGCTGGAGAGGGTATGGCCTTTCCTGGAGAAAAAATGAGAACTTTATTAGGTGTGATGTTAAATTATGGAAACAATTGCAAATATCCTGCTCTTGGAAACTGAAGATTTTCTAAAGATTAGAGTGTCAACTATAGTGTCAACTATAAAGGCAAAATATGGAAGAAGTGGTACAATCAAAGCACACACATTAGCTTGGCATTCCAAAAGCATTAACATTTTAGGTTTTTTTCCTGGTAAGCCATTCTTTTCAAACTTACGCAAATACTACTGATAAGGTCTAGCTATGCCATTCTATTTTTGCTTAAAACATCTGAGTTACCTCTGGAATCTGAGTGACTCAAACACATACACAATGACACAACTCTTTCCTTTAAGCAGTGGGGTGTTGCCATCTCCAAACATGCCCGGCCCACTGTGTTGAAGAGTAAGATGGTGTTTAATGTTATAGAATACAAAGAGGCTGATTTTTTATATTCCTTACTTATATCCAGACTCTTGAAACAATGGGGCCATCTTTGATGAGATTCCATAAAGTGGTATAATTTCAGGAGGATGGTACAGTTGTTCTTGGTCATCACTTTTACAGTCTTCGACAGACATTTCTGATGCTGCAGTTTCAGGTACAATGAAGGATCTAATGCTGAAATGCAGAGAGAAACATTATTTTCATATATTTAACCAGAGACTTATTGTAATGATTAGAAGTGACATACAAAACTAATCAATGCAGTATCTCATCTTTCTGACTTAACAGAAAATAGATATTGTAAACTACTCTTCACATTATTGCTATATAAAAGCTCATGGCAGAAATAAAAGTGGGAGCCTTTTTTGTTCTTAAAATAATAGATCAAGAAGATTCCAAGATGCACTCTTTTATTGACCTCTTATGCCTATGATGGTTTTGGTCAATCCCGGATTTAACATAACGTTTTTCAACGATAAAAAGATTAACTAGTTACCAGCCATACCCAAGCCACACAGATTGCATTTGCTACAAATAGGTTTTGCCTGTGTGCAACAAGCACACAGTTTCACTCCAAATATACTGATACTATTCTATGCAAGCTAGGATCTCTAATTTAGGGGTTTTAAACCACTATATTGTTGCTCATATGCCACCAACTAGGAATACACTCACAAACACAATGCACAGTTCTTAAAATGAAAAAATTAACTCAATTTTGTATATTTTCTAAACTTAGTCTTATTTAGGACATCTGAATACTTTACTTTTGTTACCTTTTCAATGCTTATTTTCCTTTCTATATGAAATTCTATCACGGGTAAAACAAATTTTGTTTTGGATGATTTCCATTTGGAACAAATAAATCGTTCCATAAGAAATTTAAAATACTTATTACCTAGCAACTTCCTAGATACTACGGCAGCAGAAGAGTTTAACTTTACTCTTTGATTTAGCAAAGAAAGAGAGAACCAGAATAGTTAGAGAAAGCATTCAGTAAATATCAACAAGGTATATGAAACTCTCAGATATATTAGAAAATGGCAATCTAGGATTTTTTATATATATATTTAAGGAGACAGAAAGAATCCACAAGGTCCCAAACCAGTCTCACAATGATTAGGGGGGGAAGACTTAACCAAATTTATGAATGTCCTTAAAATAATCCATCTGGATTAGATTTGAATAAAATCTATTCCTGATGTAAAATATATGGATAGTTACATTTTATTCATCTTCTTGCATGTCACTTCTAGTTGATTTCTTATCTAAAGCTAAATTTAAATGATTCTCCGATACATACTGAGTCAACTTCCTTGACATCACAAGTACTTATTATGACAGAGCTAACGCACAGCCTTGCCTATTCTAGCCAATTACTATAGAAAGCCCTGATATCACATCTGTCAAGGTATGGCACAAGTAAGATCTCATCAATGTTACTGTAAAATGTGAATTTCATAATGCTATATTTATGTGACATCACAGATGGGTGGGGGAGGAAACATGCTAGAATTTCCTGTAGGAAATAAAGCCCAAGAGCCCAGAATCAAGGAGCCAAACCCTTCAGAGATGATCCCCGAGGAAAAAAGTGAAGAGGGGCTGCAGTGCATCTTTATCCACACTAATCCACTGCCACTTTTAGCAGAAGTAGGAGGAAGATTTGCGAAGAGAGCATGGGCAGCAATAGGAAGAGACGACAGGTAAGTTTGCCTAAGTTCCAGCTTTTACATGAAACTGGAGTGAGATGACATACGTGGAGGGTGTGTGTTGATACTAAAGGAAGAGACGAGTAGAAGCCATGCCTATCCATTTCAAACATTTTCTTCTCCTTTTCATTTTCACTATCTACATCATGGATAACCATTGACATGCAGAAGCTGGGACAGTAAACGAAATAGGCTAGATGTACTGTATATATAGGTTGCATTCCCCATAAAAGGCATCCCCGACTTTTCCAAGTATCAAATGTGTAACAGCTCACACAAAGTTTATGGCTGAGCAGATGCCACTAATATCTTTGTCTGTTACGACTTACAGACTGCAAGAAAGTTAAATGCTATCCTTTCATATCCACTAAATATCATTCTTTATAAAGTTTTAAATCTTGCACCTATTTCAAATGCATAGTTACATTACAGTTACCTATTACTCACAATAGTTTCTACACCACTTCCAAATTATCCATTTAAAAGTAATGCAGCAATACTTCAAGCACCCCATAAAAATTTAGAAATGGACTACTATCAAAAAACCTGGCTCAATGGCATAGCAACAAAGATGTATAGTAATGGTAATAACTACGGTAGCAGTTGTGTAGATTATTTTACTACTGTGTTTTCCCGAAAATAAGACCCTGTCTTATATTTTTTTGAACCCTGAAATAAGCGCTTGGCCTTATCCCATGTGCTTATTTCCATGTGCTCAAAAGCCCGATTGGGCTTATTATCGGGATGTCTTATTTGGGGGGAAACAGGGTAGTAAAATAACAGATTTCCAAAGTTTGATCTTGATTTTTTTTATTTTAATAAGAATGCACTAGAATGAGTTTTCCAAAAATTTACCCCTCTTGATACAGCAAAAGGAATGGTGAAAGCATCACTTGCTAAACATTACGTGGTAAATGTTTGGGTTGATAAACATTTCTGGTTGGAAAGCACTGTTATGTGATGGCTCAGATGCCCCTTTTTCAAAATTGTCACATTTTCATTCAAAACGTTGTGATTTTTTTTTAAAGTGTTGGTTGTGGGGGAACTATAAGTGCCTCTAAAGAGCCTGAGTGTTCCTGCATTGCTGACCCCTCATCTTTATTATTATTATTATTATTATTATTAATTAAATTTCTATACCGCCCTTCTCCAATAGGACTCAGGGCGGTGCACAGCCAAGATAAAAACAAAGCATACAAAATTTAAGAACAGTATTAAAATAATTAAATATTTTGGCCGAAATTAAGATAACCCAATTTAAAATCAATTTAAAATTTAACTCAGGCCAGCCCAGCTTGTTGAAATAAATAGGTTTTCAGGGCCCGACGAAAAATCCGGAGGTCTGTTATTATACGTAACTCTGGGGGAAGGTTGTTCCAGAGGGTGGGCGCCGTCACAGAGAAGGCTCTCCCCCTGGGGGTCGCCAGCCGACATTGTCTGGCGGACGGCACCCTGAGGAGGCCCACTCTGTGCGAGCGTACTGGCCGGTGGGAGGCTATTGGTGGCAGAAGGTGGTCTCGTAAATACCCCGGCCCTAAGCCATGGAGCGCTTTAAAGGTGGTCACCAACACCTTGAAGCGCACCCGGAAGACCACTGGGAGCCAGTGCAGCTCGCGCAGGAGAGGTGTCACATGGGAGCGCCTCGTCGCCCCCATAATCCCCCGCGCGGCCGCGTTCTGGACCAGCTGGAGCCTCCGGGTGCACCCCAGGGGGAGCCCCATGTAGAGAGCGTTGCAGTAGTCCAGGCGGGAAATGACTAGTGCTTGAGTGACTGTGCGTAGAGAGTCCCGATCTAGAAAGGGGCGCAGCTGGCGTATCAGGCGAACCTGATAAAAAGCCCCCCTGGCCACGGCCGTCAAATGATCTTCTAAAGACAGCCGTGCGTCCAGGAGGACGCCCAAGTTGCGAGCCCTCTCCGTGGGGGCGAGTGATTCGCCCCCAATAGCCAGCGATGGCGTCAGCTGGCTATATCGGGACGCTGGAAGCCACAGCCACTCGGTCTTGGAGGGGTTGAGTCGGAGCCTGTTTCTCCCCATCCAGGCCCGCACGGCCTCCAGACACTGGGACATCACTTCAAGGGCATCGTTGGGGTGGCCTGGGGTGGAGATGTACAGCTGGGTGTCATCAGCGTACTGATGGAACTCCACCCCAAAGCCACGGATGATCTCACCCAGCGGCTTTACATAAATGTTGAACAGAAGGGGCGAGAGGACCGACCCTTGTGGCACCCCACAAGCAAGGTGCCTCGGGGTCGACCGCTGCCCCCCCGTCAACACAGATTGCGACCGGTCAGAGAGGTAGGAGGAGAACCACCGCAGAACGGTGCCCCCCACCCCCAACCCCGCCAACCGGTGCAACATGATACCATGGTCGATGGTATCAAAAGCCGCTGAGAGGTCTAACAGGACCAGGACAGAGGAGCAACCCCTATCCCGAGCCCTCCAGAGATCATCCACCAACGCGACCAATGCCGTTTCCGTGCTGTACCCAGGCCGGAAGCCGGACTGGAGCGGGTCTAGATAGACAGCTTCATCCAGGTACCGGGGAAGCTGTTGCGCCACCACACTCTCAACAACCTTCGCAACAAAGCGAAGGTTGGAGACTGGACGATAGTTAGCCAAAACAGCCGGATCCAGAGAGGGCTTCTTGAGGAGGGGCCTCACAACCGCTTCTTTCAAAGCGGCCGGCAGGATCCCCTCACTCAAAGAAGCGTTAACAATCTTCTGGAGCCAGCCTCGTGTCACCTCCCGGGAAGCCAGTACCAACCAGGAGGGACACGGGTCCAATAAACATGTGGTCGCGTTCAGCCGTCCCAGGACCCTGTCCATGTCCTCGGGAGCCACAGGATCGAACTCCCCCCAGATAACACTCTCAAGACCTGCCTCAGTCATCCCGTCCGGACATACCCAGTCAGAGGCCAGTCCTTCCCGAATCTGAGCGATTTTGTCATACAGATACTGCACAAAGTCCTCGGCTCGGCCCTGCAAGGGGTCATCCCGCGCTTCCAGATGGAGGAGGGAGCGGGTCACCCTAAACAGGGCGGCCGGGCGATTATCTGATGACGCGATAAGAGCGGCAAAATAACTAGATTTCGCCGCTTTTATCGCCACTAGGTAGGTCTTAATATGAGACCTCACCAGTGTTCGGTCGGATTCGGAGCGACTGGTCCTCCAACTACTCTCCAGGCGTCTTTTCCGGCGCTTCATCTCCCTGAGCTCCTCGGAAAACCAAGGAGCTAGGTGAGTTCGGTGCCGGGTCAGAGGCCGCAAAGGCACGACACGGTCCAAGGCCCCGGCAGCCGCACTATCCCAGGCGGCCACCAGGTCCTCAGTCGAGTCGTGAGCCAGAGTCTCAGGAAATGGCCCAAGCTCCATCTGGAACCTATCAGGGTCCATCAGGCGCCTGGGGCGGAACCACCTGGTCGGTCCCGCCTCCCTGCGGCGGGGTGCAGCGGTTAGAAAGTCCAGTCGAAGGAGCGAGTGGTCAGACCATGACAAGGGTTCGATGACTATATCCCCTGTATCAAGGCCACTCAACCACTGACCAGAGACAAAAACTAAGTCCAGAGTGTGTCCACCTGTGTGAGTGGGGTCATGAATTAACTGAGTAAGGTCCATGGCCGTCATGGAAGCCATGAACTCTCGAGCCACCTCAGACGTTTCGCCGACAGATGGCAAGTTGAAATCCCCCATGACTAGAAGTCTGGGGGTACCAACCGCCACCTCAGCTATGACGTTGAGCAGCTCGAGCAGGGCCATTGCCACGCGGCAGGGAGCCAGGTACGTGATCAACAAGCCCATCTGTACTCCACGACCCCACCTCACAAAAAGGGACTCACATCCGGCTATCTGTGGAACAGTGGTCTCCCTCGGATCAAGACTTTCCTTTATAATAACCGCCACCCCCCCGCCCCTGCCCTGAGCTCTCGGCTGATGGAATGCTCGGAAACCTGGTGGGCACATATCCACGAGGGGAACCCCCCCCTCATGGCCCAACCAGGTCTCCGTAATACCTGCCAGGTCCGCTCCCCCCTCCTGAATAAGATCGCAAATGAGGGGGGCTTTATTTACCACGGACCTGGCATTGCACGACAGCAGCCGAAGGCTCGGGCCCTGAGAGTCTGAACAGCCTGGGATACGAGAAGGGCTATGGGGACCGGGGCGTGCCACCGCTCGAAGATAGCGAGTGCGCGCCCCCACTACATGATGCGGCCCCCTGCTCCCACCATATCTGCCCCTCCCACTCAACACATTGATAGAAAAGCCCTCGACAGAATGGACTCTGATGTCCCCCTTACCCCCGGAATCTACACCCTCCGTGGCCCCACTAACAGCTGGGCCGGACCCCTCCCCCCGTGGGTTAACCCCCAAACCCACACAACCCTCCCGTCCCTTAAAATCCCTTAAAAATCTATCAAAAAGTTTCCCTAAAAAACCCCTTAATCCCCTTTTTGCAGCATGCCACCTCTCGGGGTGCCAAAGCCCGTCATAAAGGTAGGCCCTTGATAAAGTGGAGGGCCACACCTGCGAGAGGGGGGAGTCTCGCAGAATAAGAAGTTCTGTTGGCGAATACATCTAATCAATCAATTAATTAATCAATCAATCAATAATATAATACAGAGATTTATGGCTCTACAGTTTGTGATGTCCAGCATAATTGTAACATGTTGATTTAAATACTTGAGAAGGCATTTAGTATTAGTCTGGTCTAATCTTTTTAATCCCCCTCAAAATCTGCTTTGCTGCCTCATCATGGCAACAGAATGTTGGGAGTGTATTCCAAGAGTACATATTCCAGCATAGTTACCAGAAAAACGGGAAGGTCCTCCCAATAACTCAACTAAAGCAAGCAAGCGGGTACAAGGTAGTAGCGATATAAAAAGATGCTGGAAGCTGATGATCAAATTAGCCAAGGACACTATGGGGAGGAAAGGCAAAGGCAATGGCAAACTACTGTACTATAACTACTACATGGATAGACAATATTATAAGATTGGCAATACAGTGCTGTATGATGGGCCCCTCAGGTTTGATGGCATTTAGCCTGCTAAAGAGGAAGAGCGGAGGATATTTTGGACTATTAATGATGTCTATGTCATGGCTAATATTAAAGCCTCTGGAGTGTCAAGTTGCTGATGTAGATATGTAGGGAAAGAAAACCCGACAATGCCAAAAAAAAAAAAAAATGCAATGGAAACATGGAATATAAAAAACAAGAATGCGGAATAGTTCAAAACAGTGAAAGATAAAATGACTCAACTACATATTGATATCTTGGGCATCCAAAAATTGAAATGGACTGGAACTGGGCACTTTAAGTTAAAATATCATACTATTTACTACTCAGGACATGAAAAATAAAGAAGGCATGGTGTTACTCTCATAACTAAGAACAATATTTTGGTGCAATGCAGACAATGACCAAAAATAGCAGTTAAGACTTTGTGAACAATCCTTTATTAGGATTATGACCCAAGTTAATATTCCAACTATTGGTATTGATTACTCTTATGGTCAATTTCTATCTGAAACTGCCAAAACTTGCAGGCAGATTATGCTGTTTGTGGTTGGAGACTGGAATGCCGAAGTTGGAAATGCTAAGGAAAAAAATAGAGTTGGGATGTACAGCTTAGATAAGAGAAATAAAGCAGGAAAATAAAAGGTTTCTGCCAATCCAATCATTTCTTCACTGCTAACACACTATTTAAATAACCAAAACGATGTCCTTGTAGATGGCCATCATCAGATAAACAGAAATCAAAGAGACTATAGTGGTGAAAGAGCTCATTCATAAATTGAAAGACACAGACAGGAACCGACTATGGAACAGATGACAAACTGCTTATCTGTAAGTTTCAACTCAAGCTACAGTGGAAGAACAAAGCCAACTAGTTTCTATGAGCCTGAGCATACAACCACCATTTTCTAGAAGAGTATCAGGAATCACTTTGAAGTCCTGAAACTTATTGCTAGGGAACCAGAGGAACTATGAAGTGAAATCGGATAAATTGTTAGCATAAAAAGAGACTGACAAACACAGGGGAAAAAAACCCAGAAAGCAATCTGTATGTCAGAATAAATGGCGGAAATTGATAGGAAGAGAAGCCAAAGCTAAGAAAGACAAAAATATCAAAGAAGGAACTGAATAATTTCAGATAGTTATAAAAGGGACAAGAGGCAATATCTATAACGACATTGAAGATAAAAACAGAGATGGAAAAACAAAGAAAGCCTTCCAAAAGATCTCTGAATTCAGAAGGTTCTAGCCACAAACTTGTTGGAATGCCAAAGACAGGTTTAAAGAAGACCAAAGATACACTGGAAATCTATATAGTACAGATTTATTATTTATTATCGTCAACTTCCATGTTGCCTTAGAAGATATTCCGTATTTATAAGATCTTCTATATTAGAAAATAAATTTATATTAGCATTCAAGTCATTATCAAGTTGGAAGGCTACAAGTGTCCATAGACTATCTACAGAAATATGGGAACCAACAGAAGAATTACTGGTAAATATTCTAATCAAACTATGGTATAGATCAGGAGAAGAAAATAGTGGCCAATAGATTGGAAGAAGTCAGTGTACATACTAATACCTAAGATAGGACGTTTAGTAAAATTTATAAACTATTACACAATAGCCATAATTTTATATACTAGCAAAATAATTCTTAGGATCATTAATTCTTAGGATCATTAATCATCCTCAGAATTATGGTTTCCGTTCTCCCCTGGGTCATATGATTGCATTATGGGAGCTTGGCAACTGGCTCGCATTTATATAACTGGTTGCAGTGTCCCATGGTCACATGACCACGATTTGAAATGTTTGTTTTTTTACCATTTCTGCAAGAAAACAACCAAGCTCAGAAAAAGCATCAGGGACCACATTTAAATTTCTACCCTTTTTTTCCCAAGTTTGCAGATACATGATTCAAAGTCTTACCTTTCGTGTTTCCAATTTACTTCCACAATACTTTCCACACCCTTACTCAATTCTTTCACCTGGAGAATCTTCTGCTGTTGCATTGACTGCAAAAATTTTGAGAACTAAGAGAGAAAAATAGTTAAAATTGAATATTGGGACAAAAGAGCAGTATCAGCCAGTCCAAAGAAAAGGGAATATTGTCTAAGGAATGTCTACTTTTCACTGCAGACTTGGGATACAGATGGAAAAAAGAGGGAGCCTAGATAATACAAGCATAGGCTGATAGTCTGTTCACAAACCAACTGACAATATCGGGAAGTTTTTTAGGCTACAATAAACACAGACTTATTTTGGGGGCTGGCTGCAATGTACTGTACATCAGTTGAATAGATATCTTCAAATTATATGAATGTGTAACTCCTAAATCCTAGCTAAAAAGATATGAATAAGTAAAATAATACAGAGGAAGCAATTTACATTGGAGAGACATTATTGGAAAAGTACAAAATATATTGTTAATCTGCATCCTAAATTGGAATTATCTCAGATCTTATGTCTTGAAAAAAAAAAAGGGGGGGGAGAGACAAATTTCTTAGCACAATTTTTTTGCAACATTGTAGAAGAAAACCTAAGAAATTGCTACAATAAAAAGATTGCCCTGACTCAAACCATTTACAAATATCAATGGGAAAGTACAAATTAATCCGTTCATTTGTTGCTTGACCCACATAGAACATTTAGTGCATACAATTGAAATGAATGACCAGAGACACAATGTGCAGTAACTAATGCTACAAATACAGTGTTGTATTTTTTAAACACTGGTTTGAAAATCTAATATATTATTTTGGCAAATTCTAAAAAAATCCACTTTATCAATTACACTTTTTTAATCCATGAATTTGCATGCGGACGCAAAACCTATGCTTTACGTTTCAAATATTCCCACTATAATTTTAGAGCCGTTTCCAAATTATCTACACTGCATAGTCAATGATAGAGATGAAATGACATCATACTTACGTGTTTTTATTCAGTTTGGTATAGAACACATCGGGTTTCCACTGCAGTCCTAAAATGGCATTTTCATTGCATGTAGTGAGGTTTAATTCTGAGTATATCTCAGGATTGCACTATGATCCAAAATAATTTAAGATTATCTATATGGTCATGTGCATTGTTCACTTCCATTGTTCCCTAGATTTATTTATGTATGTGTTAGATTTGTATCTGCCTTTTCTGTAAGATTCACCATGTCTTTTTTTTTTTTTTATTTGATTTATATACTGCCCTTCTCCGAAGACTCAGGGCGGCTTACAATGCGTTAAGCAAAAAGTCTTACATGGGGGTCATTCTCCATTTTATCTAGACAACAGCAATCCTGTCAGGGAGCTTGGGCTCAGAGATAGAGAATGAGACAGAACTAGCCCAGGTGCCCAATGAATTTCTAAGGCTTAGAATGGACTAAACATGGGTCTATTCATTTATTTTTAAAATGTATACGGCTTCCCAAGTCAAACAGTGTGACTCTGGGTGGTGTACAGCATTAAAAAAAAATCAGAAAAAGAAAAAAAAACAAAACCATACAAAAATAAACAGACAATATAGAAATATAAATTGTAAAATGACAACCAAGCATACAACAAAAAACACCATGGCAGGGACTCCCATTTAACTGGTCCCTAATGTCTGGGAGATGAGCCAGGCCTTAATGGCTATTGTAAAGAGGAAAAGAGTTGGGGTCTGCCATATATCGAAGGGAGGGAGCATTCCAGAGAGCAGGGGCAACCACAAAAAAGGCATGCTTCCTAGGTCCTACAACTGTGATGGCAAACCTATGGCACGGGTGCCACAGGTGGCACGTGTAGCCATATCGGTGGGCACGCAAGCTCAGCTCAGGCACGCATGCATGCGCCGGCCAGCTGATTTTTGGGCCTTCTGGGCCCACCAGAAGTCAGGAAACACACTGTTTCCGGCCTCCGGAGGGCCTTGGGGTGGGGGGGAGGCCGTTTTTGCCCTCCCCAGGCTCCTAGAAAAGTTCTGGAGCCTGGGGAGAGTGAAAAATGGGCCTATCGGGCCCACCGTGCCATCACGTGCCAAAAGCGGGGGGAGCACGGGGGGTGGGGCACATAGAATTATGGATGTGGGCACGTGTGCGTGTGACCCCACTGCGCTCCCCCCGCCTTTGGCATGCGATGGCAAAAAGTTAGCCATCACTGTCCTATAGGAATCTGAAGCATATCCTCCTTGTGGGAGCATATAGGACAGGCAGATGTTCTTGGGAAAAGGCAGGCCCTCAGGTTACCTGGTCCTATGCCATATAGAGCTTTAACTAATCGGGAGTCCTCTGGCCATAGTTGTGACCTGCTCTGTGAGCAGGAATCCAGGAGAACCCCCAAATTGTGCACCACATCTGAATGGGACAGTGACACCTGACCCAGAAATAAAATGGAAGCTCTGAAACGCCTGCATCTAAGGGAGCCAAAACCACTGGGAAAGATCCTTGATGGTTTAATTTGGACAGCTGGTGACAGAGATGCGTTGCTATGTATCATCAATATTTTGATAATAAATCACCCTGAACCCAACCAATGGCCTCTCCCATCTCTTTCATGTAGATATTAAAAAGGATGTGGGAGGGCCAAACCTTTTGGCACCCAGCAAAGTTAGAACATAAATATGAGAAGCAGGCAAGTGATTGCCTTACAAATGATTTATTACTGCAAACTTCCATAAATACGCAAAGAAACTATTCACCTTTTTGTAGCTAGATTTCTTTATATCCAGTTGTTGATCTTTTGGACTATTAATAAATTAAAGAAAAAAATAATTATAAAACAAACAAAATTTGCATCACCTAGAATAAGCTAACTAGAAAGACATCCTTGCTAAATTCATATATTGATTCATTTAATTACAATTGTTATTAGTACTTTACAGGGACCCAGTGGCTCAATGGCTAAGATGCTGAGCTTGTCGATTGAAAGGTCGGCCGTTTAGTGGTTCAAATCCCTAGTGCCCTGTAACGGGGTGAGCTCCTGTTACTTGTCCCAGTTTCTGCCAACCTAGCAGTACAAAAGCATGTAAAAAATGCAAGTAGAAAAATAGGGAGCACCTTTGGTGGGAAGGTAACAGTGTTCCGTGTGCCTTTGGCATTTAGTCATGCCGGCCACATGACCACAGAGATGTCTTCGGACAACGCTGGCTCTTCGGCTTTGAAATGGAGATGAGCATCACCCCCTAGAGTCGGGAACGACTAGCACATATGTGCAAGGGGAACTCTTTACCTTATAAGTACTTTACTAGAACATGGATTTTTTTTTAAAAAAAATCCTTAGCTAGCATAAACTCCAAGGTAACTTCAATCCATTAATCAGTACAGAAGGACTGTTCTTGCACAGTCTGGCCTAATCCCGAATATCCTTATATACAGCATAAAGGAGCTCCTACATGCTCATGTGCAGTTAAAAGATTTGGTTTAATTCAGAATATTCTTACATATAAGGAAGCTTCTACATACAGATAAAATTCCCCAACACAAGAATTTTCACTCTCTGAATGCTCAAAGGAGGTCAGCTGTATACTTTCCAACCTTCATGATTAATGGTTCTAAACCATGTTGCAGATAACAAGAAGCTGAGAATCCCCAGAACTTCACTCAGTATAGAAATGCATGCTTTACATACATATAATTCCAAGTTTAATCAGTGGTATTTCTACTTCAAATAATGAGACAAAAATAAGTTCTGGTTGGGATCTGGGGAAGTAAAATTGATTGGAATAGAATGAATTGGACTAAACAGGAATTAATTGTCTTGGCTCCATGTTCCAATTCCATTTCAAGCTACATAGATTTTAAAAAGGTGTTAATCTAGATCAGTATTTTTCAAATTTTGCATTTTTAAGGCATGTGGATTTCAATTCCCTGAATTCCCTAACCAGTTTGCTGGCCTAGGAATTCTGAGAGTTGTAGTCCATACATTTTAAAAGTACCAAATTTGAAAAGCACGCATCTAGACGCTGAAAACAGCACTGTCAGAAGCTCCATCACTATCAGGAGGGTAGGATATGGTTTTTGGTTTTGTTGCAATTAATATTGCTAACTAATAATCTTCCAAACAATTGTTGGAATGAGAGCAAAATCTTTAACTAAACCAGAGTAGGAAGCTAAATTATATAACATAATGGTTTTGCAGTCACTGAATTAAGTTTATGAATTATGGGAACTGAAATATCATAGAGCTAAGTGTGGTATATTGCCATATTAAGATGCTAAGTTCAAAAATATCAACCTTGTGTTACTGTATTAACATGTACTTTGTACATGCAAATGTTATTCATGGATATAGTACCTATTTTTCAGGTTAATCAATCATATTCTGAATGAATAAATTATAGTGGCATATCAGGCATGGTGAACATGGGTAGAATCTAGGAGGTTCAAACAGAAAACAATTATGTTACAGCAGTTGCTCTCACACATTAGGGGTCTCAGGTTCCCTTTACATTCTTAAAAATGATTGAGGATTCCAAAGGATTTTGATATATGTGGTTGTATCTATCAATATGTTAAATGTTAAAATATTTATTTGACTTCGTGGATCCCCTGAAAGGACCTTAGGGACCCCAGGGATCTGCAGAGCACATTTTGTGAACTATTCCTCTGCAGCATATTGTTAGATATGAATTTTTTTAACTTTGATTTTCACTTTTATCACTTCACTTGTTTAATTTTGGTTTTGAATTGTGCTTTTAGTCTTGTGTTTAGATTGCTATATTATGCTGTGTAAACTACCCAGAGTGAGATGGGTGGTGTAAAAATGTAATACATAAAATAAATAATAAATACTTACCAGCAGGAAAACATATAGTTACGCAAAAATGTACTGGTCAGCAGAGGGAGCTCTGACTTCTTCACTTTACATTTTAAGGCATGAAAGAAACACTGATAAAGCAGGGCGTCCATTTGCTCTGTGAAAAGTAACATTAGGCACCATATGTTCTTCAGTAGGCTCTGCACAGAATCCAATATTGTTTGGTTTGCATATAAAGTCACTTCTAATTAATTCATGCTTCTGTGTTAACTAGCGTTACACCACTAACATGATTTCAAATGAAGATTTTATGTAATTTGTAATTAAAAATGTAGAGCTATAAAGTAAAAAATTAAAATAAATCAATAAACTATCCCTCCTAAATTAAAAGTAGTAACATACATGTCTTCTGCCAAGGTTTTATTTCTTATTCACTCAAGAACCTGATTCTTGAGCCTGATTTCAAAAGTTTCTTTTCGAGGGACGGTCAGGAAGATGTTGCAGAGGTGCTGCAGTTCCTTGTGGGCTCCCTCTTCTTTTACTCTACTGGGTTCTGAAGAGTGGAGGAGGAATTGCTGCAAACTGCTGAGCTTCCATTATTCCCTGACCTCTTTGTGCAAAGGGATTGTTTGGGATTTGTAAAGCAAAGTGTAGGAAAAGCTACTGGTGACTTCAAGGGCCAGTCATGTTTTAGCCTTTGGTAATATATGGATCTGATTCTGAATGGTTTAGGGATTGTTTGTCATGCAAGCATAGCAGGTGTGTTGCTTCATTAAGGTGTAATTTTGTAAATTACAGCTGTGTGAGCAATTCTTTAACGTCACTATTTCCAGGTTTGGAATTGTCTTCAGCTGGAATCTGATTTAATTCTATCAGTACACACCCTCCAGCCACGAGGGCAAAGATTAATGTCAGAGAAACAGGCACAAGTTCCCCATTAAAAGTGTGGTAAGTGGGTGTACGGCTAGTCCTCAACCTATGGCCACAATTCAGTCCAAAATTTATGTTGCTAAGTGAGAAATTTGTTAAATGAGCTTTATCCCATTTTATGACTTTTCTTACCCCATTTGTTAAGTGAATCACTGCAGTTGTTAAATTAGTAACACGGTTGTTAAACGAATCTGGTTTCCCCATTGACTTGACTTGTCAGAAGGTTGCAAAAGGTGTTCACATGAACCGAGGACACTGCAGCCATCATAAATATGAGTCAGATGTCAAGTATCCAAATGTAAATCACATAACCGTGGGGATGCTGCAACTGTCATAAGTGTGAAAAATGGTCATATGTCACTATTTTCAGTGCCATTGTATCTGCGATCAGTCACTAAGTGAATTGTTGTAAGTCAAGGAACACTTGTACTTTATCACTCTTTTTTTTTTTGGTCATCTAGTTTTTGACACATTGCTAAGTGACGGCTGGTACTCAAATACTGCCATGTCCTAAAAGTGGTACAATCTGTGAAAAGGTTGAAAAGCTCTGATATAAACAAAGCAGCTACTTTCTGCATCTAGTAAATCTATTTCTGTGTAAATCTCTAATTATACCTTGTGGACTTCTGTTATCTTCCATCTCCTGAGAAATATTTGGTTCGTTCTCTTCAGTCTTTTCAGCAGCATCGTTTTGACCGAGTTCCTCTTTTTCACCCATGATACTACACGAAATGTCTTCCTCTAAGTTGAGATGTTCAATGTCCATCTGCAAGGATGGATCAAGAGAGAGGCTGCTTTGAGGTGTTTCCCCTTCTTCGTTCTTCTGTTCCTCCTCTTCTCCAGCTACCATCTCTGAAGGTTCTATTTCTAAGGGGGGTATTGTAGGTGGCCTTGATTTGTCACCAATTGCCCTTATGAATTTAAAAAGAAAATAAATAATGTGATAAAGCATACTCCACAGGATGCAAAAAAGGCTTACTCCAAATGCCCATTTTAGCAAAAAGAGGTCATGGAAACAAGTCTACTTAAAATGTATCACCTCTTCCAGAGAAATCAGAATAGCAATAACCATCTGACCCCATAAAAGTAATAGTTGAAATAATACCAGTTAATGAATGCCAGTACAAAGGACCAAGGTACTTCTAAAGCCAATTGAAGACTTTGTCTGCGTATCCCAGCACAAGAACACCCACATTTTAAATATTAATTGAATGTGGCCTAAAGTCACAGAAATCTTGCGTCTGCAAATTACAGATACATTTTCAAATTGCATTTGCGGGGACAGCAGTGCAATTCAGTTGAACATCTCAATATTATAAAGTCAATGGAACCATTCAAACCTGCATATATCTCATAGGGGCACATACAATTTATTCTGGGACCTAATGCAAGAGGGAAGGGAAATGTGTTTTTTAGTAGTGCAAGACAAAACTTAGGAGGAATGCTGCTCCCAACTCCACACTGATATTATTAGGCTACAAAAGAGTAGATATCACCGCCCAAGTTAGAAGTGAGGTTCAACTAAGACTAGAAACAAATGCCATGCTTTTTGTAGTAATCTGATGTCTGTTATTAGCAGTGCTAACCAGTGGTGGGATTCAAATAATTTAACAACTGGTTCTCTGCCCTAATGATTTCTTCCAACAACCAGTTCACCAAACTGCTCAGAAAGTTAACAACCGGTTCTCCCGAAGTGGTGCGAACTGGCTGAATCCCACCACTGGTGCTAACGTAATCATGAAAAGAAATACTATGAGATCTCAGAGTTCTCCAAATTGATGATATACCCAAAACGTTTTTCCTTTTATTGTTCAAGAGTGCAAATGTAAGCTGATCTAACATGGCTGAAATAAAGCCTCAACCTAAAAACTCTGATTTACAAGTTGATTATTCTAATAAAATCTATTATAGTCTAATTTAATATACAGGGAATCCTCAACTCACAACCATTCATTTAGTGACCATTTGAAGTTACCACAGCACAGAAAAAAGCGATTTATAACCGGTTTTCACACTTATGACCATTGCAGCATTGCCATGGCCACGTGATCAAAATTTGGGTTCTTGGCAACTGGCATGTATTTATGACAGCTGCATTGTCTGGGGTCATGTGATCCCCATTTGTAATCTTCCCAGCAGCCTTCTGACAAACAAAAGTCAATGGGGGGGAGCCAGATTCGCTTAATAACCGTATGATTCACTTAACTGCAGTAATTCACTTAACAATTGTGTGTGGGGGGAGGGGGGAAATCGTAAAGTGAGGCACAACTCACTTAACGACTGCCTCTTTTAACAATGGAAATTTGGGGCTCAGTTGTAGTCATAACTGAGGACTACCTGTAGTCAGGTTAGAGTCCAGAAATCAGTTGGCCCAAGTCTTGAATTAACATGGTGCCAAAACTAATTGCTTTACTTCCAATTTGGAACATTCTCTAAAATTGGTCTGTGTCCTCACCATAGGTGATCCATGTAAGTGTGCAGCACTGTGAAACCCTTTCCTTTCATTCCAGCTGCTACCATCTCAGCAGTTGTCATAATAGCTGTTCCAATGGCCACAGGGGCTCTGCAAAAAGACAAAAAAAAAAATAATTATGTATTACATGCTTAAGTCAAACTCTTACTCTATTTAAAACAGCTCTAAGACCAGTTGTCTTCATTTGCATATCATATCCAAACCATGGATTAACTGATATTGGCATTATGTTTTATCCTGAAAGTCAAAGTTAAAACCTAGAAGAAACACCAAAGTTCAAGGGTTATGACATAGGGAGAAAAGGTGTAACATTGCTAAAGGAAACATTAAAAATGCAATTTCTGTTCTTCATGTTCTAATCCACCTGTATTTTGTTCAGTGCATTATCAAGTTTTCAAGTACATTTGCTACTCTTCTTAACATTTGCCCTTCAGATCTGGAAGATCTTTTTGTAATAAAAAAAAACAATAAAATTAATAAAAAGCATTACCTTAAAATGAGAAAAAACAAAAGCCCTGAATTTTTCCCCTTAAACAAAGAATTGCCTAATTTTTATAAACAACACAGAAGTTCAAGAATCAGCTTTTAACTAGGATGTGTTTTAAGACAGAAAGAGGTGCTTCTACCTTCCAACTTTGCTCTATGGCAAAAGCACATTGATTATCTCTGATACTACACAAAAATGTATACATTTTCTTTGCATTTTTCTTGCACATAGATTGCAATAATGAAACATGCTAGACTTGGACACCAATTGAAGCTGACACTATTCCCCCCATACAAGCAACTTCACAAAAGAAATTCTTGAACATATCAAGCAAATGTCTCCAATATATGAACTCAAGAGACTTCTACCTGCAATTTTATAAACATATGCAATCTGCAATGTTCTGCCTTTATGAAAGAGTAATAATTCATTGAGAGACATCTGCTTTATACACAGAGAACTCTAGATTTAATTTCTGGTGAAAAAGATTTCAAGAAAGAGAAAGCCACTGCCTGTAAACTACTTCAAATCATTGTTTAATTCAGTGTGAAGATGCTTCATTTAATTACAACTATGTACATTTCTGTAACACTGCAGTAGACCTACAATTTTTTTCATCTGAAAACAGATATAAGTTTTATGTTGGTTTGATCTGATGCTACAGGGACCAATAAGTTTTGACTGGTGAGCACCTTATGTAATTTAACACAATAATACAGCTGCCAAAAAATAGGATAGGTAACATGAAATAAAATGAAGTGCCAAAAATTTAAAATATCCCCAAAACACAGGAGACCTTGTCTGGGATACTGTATATAATTATTTTTTTCCAAGGCAGTAGCCAACATTTCAGAATATAAAAATAAGAGTTCCTTAACAAATCATTAACCTTTTTAGCATTAATTTTCTCTAGAAATCATACCTGTTTTCCACCAAGGTAACAGCACAGAGAGTACCTCGATTTATCTGGGGAAGACCACATTTGGGAATTATAACTCCTGGAAGCATTAAGTCTGTAGTGAAGAAACATAATATGTTCAAGAGAACAAATATTCAAGTAACTTCTCACAATTTTCTGTACTAAACGATCAAGAAGCAAAATATTATACCAGTAATAAACTACAAGGTACATTTCATAGCAAGTATCATCTCTTGAGGAATGTAACAAAAACTTATCAGCACAATCTTTTATTTTATCCAGATCTTATTTTGGCTCAGTGATCTTCACATGACACCAAAAAATATTATGTTCAATGTGATACCTGAAATCAAATCTTACGTTAAATCTGTACCTATCCAACCTGTACCTTGAAATAACTTTATTCTTCTGTTCAGTTATGTCTGATTTTCCAAGACTGCCTGGGCATGTTCCTGCAGTTTTCCTAGAAAGGTTTTTCAGAAGTGTTTTGCCACTGCTTCCTTCTTATTGGCTGAGGGTGAGTGACTGGCTCAAGATTACCCAGTTGGCTTTGTTCCTAAAGTGGGATTAGAATTCAGAGTCTCCCAGTTTTTAAAGTGTTACCTTATCCACTACACTGAACTGGCTCTCTAACCTATAACTATTATTCCAGAAATTCCAAAACCAATCCTACTTGTGTGTTTGTGTGTGTACATGTATAGTTAGTCAACATGACACAGACTGTTTGGATGGATGGATACACACACAGGTCTGTATCCATGCTGACAAATAATTAATTCCTCTTCTGTACTTCAGAAACGGGGCCAGAAGGCAGGAACAGCTGCAAACTGGAATTAGTGCATCTGCAGCATATGAACTCTTCCTGAGTATATATTTCAAATGCACAAAAAGATGCAGAGACCACAATAGGTTTCATTATTGATTAGGTCACTGAATCAGAATTTCCCACCCTATTTTCAAAACACAGACAGGAAGTGTTTGCCAAACGTTTTGCATACTTCAAAATCACACACACACACAAAAGGAAAGTACCTGCATAGCTTCTAGAACTGCATACTGTTAAAATGATAATATGACAACTGGAATATTGGCTGTGTTTTTCATGTTGTCTGGTATAGCACCCATAACAAACACTAGCATGGCTTAGGATATTGTGTGTGTATAAGCCCAGTGTGTCTTTGTCAATTAATGGTAAAAAAAAAAGTATGAATATTTGAAAATGTATTTAATTGTGTTTCAAAAAAACCCTACTTTCAAATAAGTGTGTTCAGATCAATAGTGCTACAAGCCAAATATTGAAGGCAAATTCCATAAAAAGGCAGATAAACAGCCCAACAGATTTCAATCCATTTCCTTACCTGCTCCTCCTACTAATTTGTGCATCACAGGTGGCCAAGTAGAAAAGGCAGGAAGAAGGTGGGGATAAGACCACAGAGTATACACTGCCCCAAAGAGAAAAGAAAACAATTTTTAAATGTTTTGCTAATATTTATTTCTCCTCAGTCTTGTATAATGTAAAATAAAAAATAGAAATTATTAGAAAAATAAAGGGCATATCCAAATGACTCTCATATCTTTTCATTCAACTAACTCAAAAAAGCAATCACTTCATTAGCATTAGCTTTAATTTACCCCATACAAAGGACTGAGTACAAAATATTTAAAACTTCTAAGTATAACAATGGAAGGCTGACATTAATTAGCTAGACCTGTACAATCATGCTTCCTTTTTGTACCATGTTGTTTATGGCATAAGTATCATGGCTTATTTAAACTATAGTTGCCTATTACATTTGAAGAAATGGTGATACTTAAAACTTAGGCTAAATAGATCAAATAATTTATTTATTTGAAATAATTAAATAGTAAATATGGAGTGGTTTCAAGTCAGAAAATGTTGAGCATAACAATAAAATACAGGTAATCCTTGATTTATGACTGTAATTGACCCTGGAATTATAGTTGTAAGTTGTTCCAGTCATAGGATCAGACACTCCCATGACCAGAAATAATTTTCCACTGTTTTTCACCATGGTTAAGCAAACACTGCTATTGTTAAGCAAATCCATTCATTTGAGTGGGTGTTATTTTGCCAGAAATTGGCAAATAATAATAATAATCAACAAATCACAGTCATGTGACTACAAAATGCCATGACCAGTCATCAAGCTGACCTATCCAACATGCGGTCTTATGATTGTGGGGGTGGGGGGTGAGGTGATACTATCATTTATGACAGATGGTTACTAGTGATCAAGCACCAATTCCATTGTATCATGAGTTTGAATGGTTTAAAACAACCACTTACACAAGGAGTACCTGTATGTATCTACTACTATCATCACAATTCTTACATAGAAAGTAAAATCCTAATCAATCATATCCTCCTACAATCAGCATAAATTCCTTCTTTCCACTCACCAGCAGATATACATTTTGATAAGAGTTATAACGAACCATGTTTCAGAAATAATATATGCATCATGATTGGACCACTGTTTGTGGAGATGGAAACAAGGGTCAGAATGATCAAGTAACTTGTTCAAAAAGAAAAAGAGAAACTCAAAAATTCCAAGTCTCAACATCAACTGCTCACTGGAATGTTTGTGGTACCTGTTGGATATAGCATTTTCTCCATTTCAAAAAGGATAGGATTTTTGCCATTGGCATAGACTGTGACAATTTCTCCTTTATGAGTATATATTTTAATAATATTCAATTCCTCTTTCATTGGCACAACTTCAGCCAGTTGTTCAGAAGTTAGGGTGGGAAATCCTGCTGCAACATCATTTCTCAATTTCCTCCTGCAATTGTTAATTTTATACTTGTTACTACATATCAAGAAATAGTCAACCCTGGAATACCATATCATTCAATCTGCAATTACCTATATATAAGATTATGAGATATTTTTAGTAGTACATTATTAATATTTGTTTTCTTAACATCCTCATTCTGTCTATTTATCCACCCAAGCAGCTCATACAAAATATACACATATCCTAATTATACTATAACATTTAAAAAGTTATTAAAAAACCCCAAAGCCATTGTAAGACTGGCAAGCTATCCTAAAGCTCTTATTTCAAATCAGTTATATATTCTATTCAGGTAGTCCTCAACTTATGACCACAGTTGAGGCCAAAATATCTGTGGCTAAGCAAGACAGTTGTTAAATGAGTTTTGCTCCATTTTACAACCTTTCTTGTCACAGTTGTTAATTGAATCACTGCAATTGTTAATTTAGTAACAGGGTTATTTAGTGAATCTGGCTTCCCCATTGACTCTGCTTTTCAGAAGGTCACAAAAAGTGATCACATGACCTCAGGATATTGCAACTGTCAATGGAATTAAATTTTGATGACGTGACCATGGGGATGCTGCAAAGATCGTGAGAAAATAGTTGTAAGTCATTTTTTTGAACGCTCATTGAACAAATGGTTGTAAGTCAAGAACTACTTATTTATTGCCATTTTAATGGTAAAGTATCAATGAATTATCTATTTTGAATGGAAATCTGCTTCAGTGATAGCAAATAGTGAATAAGATAACAAAGCAGTTTGAAGAATACCAGTTTTAAAAGAATATCAAGTATTGAGAGTTGAGATATAATCTTATTGGTCCAAATAATACAAATCAATTTCTAAACTCTAATAACATAGATATAAAGCCCAAATAACCGCTTTAACAAAAAAAATGTTGAGTCAGATACTACAGAGTTATAAGAACATTTTATTTCCTGAAAAGGAAAATCGATATATAAAAACATTTCAGAAAGTTGTACAATGCTATACCGTCCTGTCTCTTTTGTAAACTGTCAATCATTCTAGGATTGTAATGTTTATTTTAAAGATGGCAAGATGAGATAATTACATCTAATTTAATAACACATATTTGGAAGATCGTTATTGTTTTGTCAAAACAAAATCTTAGCCCAACATTCCTTTCGGTGCCTACTGCATGCAGTGCTGGAGTAACAATCAGATCGCTTTTATCTGTCGACCATCGATCTTCCCACGTAACATGATGTCCGTAAGGAAAACGATCAAAGTTTGCATTCGCGCTGAAGGAGGCATTTATTCACCACAGAATTTCAAAACCGCGTCGTCATTATCGTGTAAAAGAGTCTCAGGCTGGCTCGCATAAACCTGCTCCTTGTGGTCGACATGAAAATATCCCGATTTACAACTCCCAAGAATACAACGCCTTGAAATGAAAGAAAGCAAACTCACCTATCGGAACCTTTGATGGAGGTGTTGGATTTTACCCTGAAAGGTTTGACGAACATATTTAAAGAAATGCCAAGACTCCGTGTGCTGTTCAGATAGTGAATTATAGTGAAATTAGTTACCTTAAGAATGAAGAGCTGTCTCCTTAAGAGATTGCATTGTGGGAGATGTAGAGAGATTGCATTGTGGGAGATGTAGTCCATGACATGTGACCAAATCTGTATGTCTGATTGGCCACTGAGGCTCTCTGCATGGGGTGTAGAACAAAGCCCCACCCATTATGAATTGCCATGGAGGAGAGAAGCATGTTTTCTGAACAGGGGGACAGACCTACTGTCATTTTACACTAGGAAATGGGACAGATTATGAAATATACAGATGAATCTCAACTTGACTCACCATGATTGTAAGTCTATGTTTTGAGGACACCCGAAATAAACTTGATCTGTATTCAAATCTGTTTGCTAGAGTTTAACTGCGTTCCCAGTGGAGCCAGATGCTTTGGGAACAGAACAGTAAAATGACGCAGGCTGCCAGACCCCCTCCTTTTTTTTCTCTTGGAGCAATGAGGAATATTCTGTTGGGGGGGGAGTGTATCTCTTCTCTACGCACAACTTTAAAAAAGAGACTTCGTTTGCACCTAATTGAGACCTTTGCTTAGCCATGGAAGTGACAACCTGCTTTCCTTCTCTTTGCATCCCAAACTCTATTTGGATTTAACTGAGAACAGTATTCTGCCTGCAGTAAAAGGACAGAGAATGACTACCCCCTCCTCTTTTCTTTTGGAACAAAGAGGGACATTCTGTTTGAATGAGAAAAGCTTGCATTCCTTCCCTTTTGCATCCCAGATTCCGTCTGAGTTTTAATTGAAAGAATTTCCTTGACATTGAAGGAAAAGATGCTACTTCTCTCCTTACAAAGACTTTATTGTGTTAACTAAGGAAAGCACATGCTTGTTATTCCCTTGCCAAAGCATGAAGAAATTTTGCATTTATCTAAGAGTCTGAACCAGCTAAGCCATATATGTATATATGTGTGTGAATAGAATAGAATAGAATAGAATAGAATTTTTTATTGGCCAAATGTGATTGGACCCACAAGGAATTTGTCTTTGTGCATATGCTCTCAGTGTACATAAAAGAAAAGATACGTTCATCAAGAAGCATAAGGTACAACACTTAACAATATATATATTATAACCAATATAATGTATAATATAACAATAATATATTAGGTGTTATATATATGATATTTTATATATAAATATACTGTACATTCATTTATATCCTGCTTTTATTATTTTTATAAACAACTAAAGGCAGCAAACACACACAATACTCCTTCCTCCTCTTATTTTTCCCACAAGAACAATACTGTGAGATAGATTACTTGAAAGAGAGTGACTGTCCTAAAGTGACCCAGCTGGCTTTTATGGCTAAGGCAGGACTTGAACTCATGACCTCCCACTTTCTAGCCTGCTAGAAACCATTAGACCAAACAGGCTTACAGATCAAACATTATTTGTATCCTTGTACATCATCAGAAATTTAGATCTCCAGAATGTCAATGAAATGTGTTGAACCATCTGTCCAAATAGCACTAGTAGTTGATAATATTTTATTAAATTTATATGCTGCCCAGAATTGCTGAGAGCTGGGCACTGGGCAGCATATTAATGTGTTGTTATTGTAGTACCGTAGTTGGGTGCATAGTCAATCAATTATTTAGACTGGATTTGGCATTTTTATCTACCTATCTTTATATTATTAAGCTTGCAGAGCAGTAAGGATTTGGATTTATCTGAATATTATTTTTTCAGTGTTTGGAATTCACACATGACTGCCTTGAAGTTTCTTTTTGATTGAGCAGTCCTATAAATAGATAAGATTATCCTAAGCTAATGATTTCAACTGTGTTTGTCACAAGCTACAATGACAGCCCATACATAATTCTAAATTTGTTTACCCTAATGTACAAATTAAACTAAATATTCTGAGTGGACTGAGTGAACCTAATTAATCTTTAGAGGATTAGTTGTTAAATTGGAGCCTGGTTCAATTATGCAGGCATGCCTCCACATAATATTTGATAGAGTGTTAGAAAATTTATTTATTTATTAATTACATTTATTTGCCACCATCTCACTATCCAAAGGAAAGCATTCCTTGAAAAAAAAAATATAAATTACTTATAACTAGCAATAACAGGGGTATTGATTTTTAATTTCTCCAGGCAGTCCTAGGATATTTGAAACACTCTAAATTGCTCTAACTTTTAGAAAAGTTTGTGATATTTTGGATTAACAGCTTTATAAGAGAACACATGTGAGAATCAGTTTGGAGTCATGGCTCAGGCTAGAAATTGGCAGACTGTGAGTTCTAATCCCCTCTTGGGCATGAAGTCAGCTAGGTGACTTTGGGCCAGTCACTTTCTCTCAGTCTAGGAAGGAGTGAATGGCAAACCATTTCTGAAAAGCCTTGTCAAGAAAACTGCAGGGACTTATCCAGGCAGTCTCTGAGAATTGGACATGATTGAATGGAAGAAAAAAAGAGAATGCATATAAATGAAAATTCTGAAAAAATATCTATCACATTTAGAAACCATGTAACTCCCTCACAGACTCTGGGCAGCATACAAATTAAATATTAAAGCATAAAATATACATTAAAATGTATATAAAATTTTAAAAGAGGCAAAGATTGTTAGAATTGAACATTAAAGTGAATTAAAAGATGGGGAGAGGGCCTTCTGAACACTAGCCAGCTCCACAGCTGTATACTCTTCTGTGTGCCTCAAGTAAAACAGCAGAGCCATGTTTTCAAACCTTTCCAAAAAGCCAGGAGAATGGGAGCCCACCTCCCCTATGTGGCAGGGGCAGAGAAAGTTCTCTTCTTGGACCACCAGTCAGAATTCTTTAATTGATGGCATCTGTAACATACCTTCCCTGCCTGACTGGGATGGGCTGATGTAATGGGCAAAGATGGTTCCATAGGTAACCTGGCCCCATGCAATGTAAGACTTTAAAGGACATAACACCTTGAATTTTATTTCACTTACAAGATTTATAAACTGTCTCACTCCATAATGTATGCATGTATGTATGCCCCCTTATTTGGATATGTTTCAACTATTGCTTTTTCTAAAGAAAATTAGTGTTTATAATTAGGCAAATAAATGAATAATATTAAATAACCTTTGTGCTCTGGTTCCTGAATCAAGCAAAGCATTTAAAAAGAGATGGACTAAAGTAATTACTGAGGAATTCACATTATTTAAGAAGCTCACTTTATACTAAAAGCATGCCTCCAAGAAAAAAAATATTCTTCCAAAAACCATAATGATTTTAGTTCTAGAAAGGGAGTAGAGAACTTTATCAGGGTAATAATAATCACTTTCACAACATTGTAATTCCCTGCAGGGAGTCATAATAGTTCATTTAAAAAAAAAACAATGTTATTATCACTGCAAAGTAAGAAATACTCTTTGGAAGTCTTTTAGTGGAGTTAATTACATTTGGAGAAATTCTATGCCATTTGGGAGATACTTAAGCATTCATTCAGCAGCAAAGATTTTCCTACCAGCAGAGTCTTTTCTACAATATGCATTTGAATGCAATTAAACTTCCCACCACAGAAGCAAAGAAAATGGATACAGTATTAGTTAGATATACCGGTAGAGCCCTCCACGTCTAAGAAAGACATTTACTTGTTTAGCCTATGGTAAAAGTGTTAAAAAGCACATCATAATTACATTCTCAATGAGCAAATATAAAAATAAGACAAAAACACTTGGACATGACTCACATATTGTAGTGTCAGTGAATCATCCTATAACACTGATATGTCCAGTATTGTTTCTTATGAGATGATAAAAGATAAAAAGTACTAGAATTCAGTAATAACACTGCTTCAAGAAATTCCATAATTAAGGATCTGCAGAATGAGGATTCTTTAAAATATATATATTGTTTTTTCTTGATAAAATAGCATATACATTCTGTGATACTTGTTAATAGCACCAGATGGCTCTAAAGAACACAACTGTTAATCTGCCCTTGAGGCACAACCAAGTTCCTAATGAAAAAGACAACTGTATAAAACAGTTTAATATAGAAACACCCTAAATAAATAGTATTTCCCAGAATTTTAAGCTTTTATTATATATAAGCATCACAAGTGAGAATTCTTTTTGTTGAGAGGGTGTTCGAAGCATTAAAATCTTGCTTCCTATATAAGACTATAATTTTACTGATATAGAAATAACCGAATTGCTGTTTATAGCCTGTTAATCAGTAGAGTCTAGACGTGGAAATGGGCAGGCAGAAGGGGCCAAAGGCTCTTTGTTTAGATACAAAACAATTGTTTGCCATGTGTGTACATGCATTACTCTTATTAAGGAAATAGACTTGACTCTTTGCCTTGATTTAAAGGACAAATTTAAAATCTGAGTCTTAAATTTTCCTCAAAAGTTCTATATTCAGTATTCTCATTTAGAAAGGAAAATTGTTCTTTTGATATTTTTGTTATTAATGAATTTGGTGCTAAATCTCCTTGCTAATTTACTGGAAGGCATCCAGAAATCCACCAACACATTCCAGTCCTTCTATCCTAGGCCCAGAACAAGGAAAGGCAACTGTTTGGGAGCCAAGGACTACATTTCTTTTCTTCAAGATCATTTTTGGTTGCAAGAGGCTTGGGATTATTATCAATGGGAGAGGGTCATGATGGTTTGGCATTTAAAAGCCAGTGTCTTTAATTTATTAGAAGTTTAAGACATTTAAGGGTTACATTTTTAAAAGATAAGTAAAAAAATGAACCACCGGATGTTCTTAGCTGCCAATTTTGGCTGTAGGGATGGCGCTAAAAAGGCCATAACCTAATTTAGGTCAAGCATTATATATTTACACACAATATGTACAGGCACCCCTTATGTCACAAGAACTATCTTGTCAGAGTTAAATTATTCTAAACATAATTTAGAGCTGCAACCTTGTTCACATTATTTTAGATGTAAATCCCATTAAACTCAGTACATCTTAATTTTAGGGAGACAGAGGATTAGACTGATAGTGGAGTCTAAGTTTAATGACTTTAGGGGCTAGATTGAATATGGTTTGGAATCATATGTTCTTGATCCAATTCATCCCAATCTTCACGGAATGAATATAAAAACTAAATTTAATGCACATCATATGTGTAATCCCTTCTTACTGTAAGCAAAATATGCAATGGCCCAGTTGAGATCAAACTACCCTAAATTAAGAAGGAACTTTAGCATGAACTATTTAAAAAAACCTACATACAGTATATTTTTTTTAAAAATATCCCATTGGGAGTTTGCTAAGAGGAAGAATCCTGATACTTAAATAAAATTTATCAAACCAAAATTATGCCAGATTATATCCTTATTAACACGTCTATTTATTCCAGACTATATCATATTGAGGGTGAAGTCTAGAGATTTTCAGTCATCCAGGTCATGAAAGTCCAGTTGCCTCCTGAAAAAGCACCTTTGGGACATTGAGGGTGAAGGTTCATTCTCCAAGCCTAGTATGTGGGTTGGTTTCGTTATCTCATATATCATATTCTCATATATATTCTTATATATTTTATTTATTTTATTTTATTTTATTTTTGAATTTGTATACCACCCTTCTCCCCGAGGACTCAGGGCGGTGAACAGCCAAATAAAAACATCAAATACAAATATTAAAACACATTTTAAAAATATATATAGATTTGGCCCCATTAATTAAAACGATAAACAAAACAAAACAATTAAAAAACCCTTAAAAAGAAATTAAGCCAGCCTGGCTTGTTGAAAAAAGAAAGTTTTAAGGGCACGGCGGAAGGCACTGAGGTCATGGATTCTCCTTATCTCAGGGGGCAACTGATTCCAGAGGGTGGGTGCCCCCACAGAGAAGGCCCTCCCCCTGGGGGTCACCAGCCTGCATTGTTTGGCTGATGGCACCCCGAGGAGGCCCTCTCTGTGGGAGCGCACAGGTCGGTGGGAGGTCGTTGGTGGCAGTAGGCGGTCTCGAAGATAGCTAGGCCCTATGCCATGGAGCGCTTTAAAGGTGGTAACCAACACCTTGAAGCGCACCCGGAAGACCACCGGGAGCCAGTGCAGTTCACGCAGGAGCGGTGTTACATGGGAGCGCCACGCTGCTCCCGTCACTACCCGCGCTGCTGCGTTCTAGACCAGTTGGAGCCTCCGGGTGCTCTTCAAGGGGAGCCCCATGTAGAGAGCATTGCATCAATATATATCATATTCTCATATTCTCTGGCCACCAAACAGGGCAAGGTACGAGCAAGGTACTAAATAAAATTAGCCAAACTTAGCCCAAGGCAATGTTGTTTATCACAAGAATGTATGGAGTTTGGGGATCAAAGGAAAACTGAAGACAGTTTGGGGGTACCGCCTTGGTTTCTTGTGATTTGTTAGCTTTTTGGAGATAATGTCCATCAGAACAGAAACATTTCACCATGCAATCCCAGGGATTGCTGAATTACAACAATTAACATGAAGTACAATATTTTTGGTCACACTAGAGTGGGCTAGTGAGAAGTGGAATTCAACCTAATTTTCTCATTCCTATTTTAAGAGAAAGAGTGGATGTATAATTGCTGAAAAGGCAAGTTGGAAAAATGGTGAAAAAGGCGTATTGGAAGTTGTTGTTTTTGAATCCATTCCATCCCATTTTCTTGTGAGATGTTTTTCAATGTCTCTCCACCTTCACTTTATCAAGCATTCCTTATACAAAAGCAATGTTTTAAAATCATTAACATTTAGGTTTATATGATATTTTTTCCTGAGTGCAGTAGCAGGATTTGGCTGTTCCACAAAGGCAAGAGTTTTGTGGAATCATAAATATCTGCCAATTTGCAACAGATGAAGTACATCAAGTTCTCGAAAGCACAGCTCACATACACGCCCCGTGTATGAAGTTAATGCTTTATGAAGCATTATGAAGTTATGAAGTTAATGCTAATTTATGAAGTTAATGCTAATTTATTTCGACGGGCTTTCTCTCGAGTAACTGAACTACCAATTCATAATGTATTCCGCTTTTACTACGGCCTCATTAAGAAGATAGGAAGGTCTCCTGTCTTTAAGCAAAGTAAATACAGATCCCCTACGCTTTGTACACCCCCGCGGTATAAAATCGCTTGGCTCAAGCACATTTTACACTTCAATCGCTGAAGAAACGCTTTGGGGGGGGGGGGACGGGAGGGGAAAGAGCGTTCTCGCCCTTCGCTTCAGCCCCTCCCCCACCGCGCAAGCGCACAACGACCCAAGCAGACGTTCCCTTAGCAACCGCGCGTTCAGCGCTACCACGTCCCTGCCTGCTCGACTACAACCTCCGATACTAGAGCGAGCTGCAGGCCCCGAAGGCGGGGGAATCTGGGGACCGGGCAGGCCTGGACACGGTGATGGGGCGTACGGCCCGCGGGCTTTTCCCCAGGTATCCTGCACGTTATGATGCTGCTGAGCAGGAAGTCGGAAGGTCCCCTCTCGGCAGGTACTGGGGGAAGCTTAAGGGGCTCCTTGGGTCTTTTCCGTGGACCCCTCCTTTCCGTTCCTTGCGGGCGTGGGTCGGGCTTTTTGTGGCTGGGCCTTGGGGTTGTCTGGCTTCCTGCTTTCCAGGCACTCCGCCGTTGGCGTGCCTTTGCAGAGGCGAGGCCGCTTTTTACAGGGAGTGTATTTTGTGTGGCGGGTGTGTTGGTGGGAGATCGCGGAGGAGGGGGCTTGTAAAAGGAAGAGTGTCTTCCTCCCCCACCCCCCGACCTGCTGGGCTGTTTCCTCCCTGATTAATGAAACAGCAACGAAACGCCTGCGAGAAAGCAGCCAAGCTCAGAGAGCACAACACCAAGGAGCCCTTCTTTCCTTTACAGCCAAGCCTTTCCTAAAGCCCATCCTTCGCCAGGCGGCTCATCCCAGGCACACGATCGTGGAGGTCGTCTGGGAACGGGGAGCGGTTTTGAGGGATGTAGGGTTAAGGATAAAGGGGGGTGGGGGTGTCAACCTTGCCCCTTGGTGGGAGGAAGAGGAGCCGGGGCGACGGTCCGCACGTGTCCTTCGCAGGAAGGGCTGGAACTTTTGTAGGAGGCGGCGGGGCCACGTGGGGAAAAGGGACGATCGGAACGAGAAAAACGGCCGGTTGCCGGATTCGTGGCGGGAGGCTGGCGAATGGGGCTTGCAGCGTAGCCCGGCGCCTGTACTGTATATTTTGAATCGGGGATAATGGGCAAAAATGTAGACCCGAGAGGCTCGAGAAACGGGGTTTTTTTAGCACCGTTTCCCCGAGAGACCGATGGGAAACAATCACATGAACAATACTTCCCCCCCCCCAAAAAAAACCCTACAATCCGAATAGCCGCCGTCCAACGGTAACGGACAAGCGAGCCCCAATTGGGAGGGGTTGGTGCTCCTTTCGTTGGCCCCCACCGTAGAAACCACGTTTGGTTTTTTATTGTTTGGGGATGTTGTAACAGTTGCCTTTTTTTTTTTTTTTTTACGCTTCACGTGTATAACGGTAGAGATGAAGTACAGTAACTGTTGGAGCCAAAATGGTCTTGCTTACTAGAAATATTCGGTGTACGCTGTGACTTCGAGAAGCGGGCCAGATTATTTCAACTCTCTGCCAAATTATGCATAAGGAAATTTTTAAAGATTTTTCCCTTTGGTAATAACTTAGCTGGCCCCTGCTTCATTTTATTTTTAAACTGTTAACTGGAAGGCAAGGAGCATTCCTTCCAGTCAGCAGTAATTACCATAAATGTGTATTTGCTTGTTTGTAATCCCAAGGTTTTTTTTAAAAAAAATCTGTGATTAAGCAAGAGGAAGCTCAGCAACTCTTCCTTTTTCATGTTAGAGGCAGTTTTAAAATTTTGGAATATTTAATAGAATTCTTTTAAAACAGCAATTCCAGAAACAAAACACAACATTTGTTAATTTCTGTCAGATTCTGTTTGCACTACAAACATTTGTAAATAAGTGAAATCATGGAGAGAAAAAATTGGCTTTACTTGGTTGAAGCATTACTTGTTGAGCATTACTCAACAGATCAGAACAAGACAAAATAATATTCATAACTCTATTCAGTGCATTATTACATTGAAGCAAATGATGGGAACATAAGAACTTTGTTCAGACTAGTAGCCCCTCTGGTTCAGTGTTCTTTGTCTAACAGTGTCCAGCTGGATGAATTCAGGCAAGTCATAAATGTGACCAGGGCAATATTTTTTTGTGTGTGTGTGTGTGTTTTTAAATAGGCTGTACACAGCCCTGAGTCCTTCAGGAGAAGGGCGGTATAGAAATAAAATTATTTATTTATTTATTTATTTATTTAATATCCTTCATGTTCCCAGTTGGCTAATGTTAAAGGCAAGCTACTTCTATTCCAAGGGAAATAAAAGCCCATCAGGTCATGAGTATAATACAACTGCTTTCTAGAAGTTATTTCCAAACAAGCCTAGGCAGAATTATAAACTGGATGAATAATTATGTGATCCATATACCCGTACTTCCTGTATTAAGTTTGAGTAAGTTTATTGTTTTAGGGGGTTATTTATTAAATGTCTTGAGTTTCAAACTGTATTTTTGAAGCTGTAATTCTTCCTAATTTAGTCAACATACTGATTCATGATTGCTGAGGACAATTGCAGCTTAGTTTACTTTCAAAGAAATCTAATTTCAAATCATAGATACAACGTGTCTATCTTATCACCTACATTTTTTCTTTAGCAGATACTGCTGAGATGATTTTTTAAAAATTGGTAACTAACTCATGATTCTAAATGCTTATAAATAGTGGTTGTGGTATTCTGGCAATTCAATGGTGGAATCCTATATTATTTGGGAATATTGCAATAATCTACAAAAGTTGTTGGTTTTCTCTTCGCAAAACAGAGAAAAGAATCAATATTGGATAGGTTTCTGTTGCTGGCTTCTTAGGCAGTCCTGAGAATGGTATCTCCCAAAAGTGAGTGTGGTAGGACAGATTAGGCAAAGGTGAAAATCTGCTAAATACTAATATTCCTGTCCCTTGTTATTATACAAACAAACAAAAAAGAATTGTACACGCTCAATGCCTATTATAGATTTTTTCCCTTTTAATGAAAAAAGAGAGGAGATAAAATGCTGTTGCTTCTGATTATCTGCAGCCACATCATTTGGATTTTGGGGTTTGTTGGAGGACTCCAATAAGAGTTTGGGATTATTACTGAAATTTAAAATAATGCTTATAAGAATTTGTGTTCATTTTTACTGATCATTTTGTTATTTCCAGCCAGGTTTGGAGATGGCTTGTATGACTCTTATATGAGAATAGATCAGATTAGATGTCCAGAACCTACAAATGAAGAATGCACCCCTTCTGGTTTTCCTTCACTAGGGAGATCTAATGTAAGTAATTTTCCTGCTGCTTGAGTTTTATTACTGTAGGGACAACACAAACTAAATGGGGACAACACAAACTAGATGTTAAACAAACTAGAATATTAATACCAAGATTATGCAGTGCTTCTGATTTGATTCAAAATAGCTGCTTTATTGTGCAGATGTGACATCTATGTGTAGCTACATTTGTTTTCAGGATCTCATGGCTGCTTTAACAAGCTGCACAGGCGTGCTGCATTCACTCTTGTACATTAAGGAACTTCTTTCAAATATAGCCTGAAAAACTGCATAACCCTACAAGTACATCTATATCAGCAGAAAGCGGTGGTTAAATATTGTGTCTACTATCTTTTCCAACCATTCAGCATGATTAAGAATGTTACAAGTAGTTCTCAAACTAGGAAGTACCAGATAGCTTGTAGTTGAATGTTATGTAGAAATGTATAGTACATAGGGGGGAGAATAGAAGGGTGGTAAAGTATGATATGATATAAAATGATTTGAATTTGGATTTCACCTTGGGGAAGTCATGGGAGGAGGGGAGGGTTAGGGCGGGAAAGGGGGTGGGGAAATGGGAAAATTTGTATTTGTAAAACTTTTTCAATAAAAAAGAAAAGTAGGAGGTTGACGTTTTAAACGCCAATATGCACATGTTTGAAAACAAACTCCAAGCCCAATTAAAATGTGCAAAATAAAATAGGGATTTAAAAAAAAAAAAGAATGTTACAAGTAGTTCTGTAATAAATGCCTGTATCATTATTTTAACCACTGTATTTACTCAATATAAGTGACACGAGTAGCTTTTTTCTCTGGTAGAATTGAAAAGATTTGCATTTGCATAATAATTATTTTTTATGGTGAAATAGATTAGAAACATGTCAGTAAATATTTCTTTGCAGAAAAAGTAAGCATTGGAGAGCATCTCTTTACTGAAAAGAAGGGTTTACATTATAGTTACATATCGTATGTATCTATGGCCATTCCATAGTCAATATTCTTAAGAGTTACTGTCAATTAGCTAAGTTTAATTACAGGACTGAAATTTACTGGGTTTTTTTAAAATACAAAAAGGAATTTCCTATTTTTTGGGAGGGAACAGTAATGTTTTCTGTCACTTCAATTGTTTTTGTAGAAATGATATATGTCTTAAAATCATGTATCTTGTCAGCTTGTTAGAGAGGACTGGTTAGATTGCAGCAAGTATGTCCAATTGTGACAACAGCCGTAACCGTATGATGCTCTGCAAATACTTTCAAGCAACAAAAATATTCAAGCAAACCCAAAACTTGGTTGCATAATTGATCATTGAAAGAAGAGGTTGGCCTGTGTAGTTATAGCATGCTTTCATGCATGCCATAATTGCTTCTCGGAAGCTTATGGCTAAGAGGGGGGAAATGATATTTGAATTTGGCAAAGAGATTCAAAAGCAAATACAATGGGTTGAATCTTATAAATTGGATGAAGTCAGTTGAAGCCCTTAGACATTTCAAAGAGGAATTATTGCATTATTGACAAGCTGTAATATAGTGATTATATTAGTAGTATTGATATATGATGATATATCAATGTATTGATATGATGATATAAAGATGTATGCATCAGGCTTTATAATCCACATTTCTTATATTGACTTACTCAATGAAGGACATTGAGGTTGTTTTGTGTATAATATGTTTATCTTAGAAAGAAAACATGACCAAAGATTTGCCACTTATCATATACCTGTGATGGTGAACCTATGTCACACATGCCCAAAATGGCACATAGAGCCATGTTGCCTGGCACGTGCGACATCGCCTGTTCCTCTTCTGGGTTTCTGGCGCACACGACGATCAGCTGGCCTTTCTGCAGTGCCGGAAATTGGAAGAGCTGGTCTTCCGTTTTCCAGTGTGAGCATGTGCGCCAGCCAGCTGATGTCCATGTGTGCATGCGCGGAAGACTTGCTGGCTTGCACGCACGTGCGCACCGGAAACCAGAAGTACCTTATCTGGTGTGCACATGGCCCCTGAGCAGCTCCTCTTCCTGGTCACAGCCATGATGAGCGTGCATGCATGAAGTGCTTCCCTTTCGGCACTTGGTGCCATCCACGCGCACCATCGCTGTCATATACCATATACATGGACTTTCTCTATAGATAGGCAATATGAAAAGGCACGTCCTATGATTTTTACAGGTATTCCTCAGGCTACAACCACTCATTCAGCATCTATTCAGAGTTACAACAGTGCTGAACGAGAATGACTTACAACCAGTCCTCAAAGTTGCAGCCATCGCAATGTCCCCAGACTCATGTGATTGTAATTTGAGTACTTGACAACTGACTTGCTATTATGATAGTTGCAATGTACCACAGTCCCATGATTACCATTTGGGACCTTCTTTGCTGGTTTTCCACAGCAAAGTCAGTGGGGAAGCTGGCAAGTTGCTCACCTGCACTCCATAGCACTTCTTGTGGCACTTGCCTGCCTTCCTGCATTCCATAGCCTTTGGGGAACTAATTACCTGTCATTTTCTTGTCAAGTCTTTTGAATTTCTAAGACACTAAGCAAATATTTTTTTCTGGCAATTGGCTATCTTTTTGTCTGGCATATGAAAACAAGAAACCTGCTTTTTATTATAAAAGATAAGCTATTGCATACAGTTTCTATGAAGCATAGTTTAGAGGCTGAATTTTCCACTATCCAAAGAACAGATGTGAAAAATGCTTCTCTGCCAATTCTTTTTTCATTCTCTGTTACTACAAAGTAAATATAAATATATTGGTAATGTAAATATAAGCATATTGCTAATGTTTAACTTTAGACTTTTTCTATCTTATATTTTATCTAAGTATTGCGTGCAGGACAAATTAACAGTTCAGGTTCATTTCCTGTTTGGACTCCGTATTGCTATTCTATTTTTTTCCTCCGCCATTATCAGCAAAATGCAAAAAATGTGTCCAGAATTTTTTGTCCATTATGTATTAAATGTTTCTGAAAATAGAGGTCTTTGAAACCTGGTTGCTCAGTTGCTCTGAATTAATAAAGAATTGCTAATTGGATTAGATTAATATCCTGCAAGGGGCCATCTTATTCAAAATTTTATAGCATTCCTCTTTCTGCTCAGGTCAACCATAGTTACTGAATAATCTGTTAACATGCTAATTCTCTGCATCATATTTTCTGTGACTTCTAAGAAAGTTGTACGTCTCAAAATACACTGTCTATATTTTCCAAACAGATATAGCAGTTAAGCAGTAAAATACAGATCTTGATGTCCTGAAACTGCATTTTCTGAACCAATGTCGTTAACTGTTTTGGCATTTCATTGAAAAAGGTATACAAATAGTTTTACAAAAGAGTTATTAATTTGCTGTTTTGGTGGAGTAAAAATTTGCTATAGAAATGGAAGAAGATAGCATATATCAAAGCTGTTATTTAATTGCAAATGTTGGTTTCATTTTTTTTTTTGAAGTTTTAAGTCAAAACTACATCTAGTTCTTTCAGCAGTTCTTTACAGTTATTTCATAAATTTAGTACTTGCCTTTCAGAAATCAATGAGGTATGTCAGACATATGCTAGTCTGCCTTGTGGACTCAACAAGGTACTTTGCAAAATGAAGATGACCTAACCAAATCTTGTAATAGTGGCTTATTCATTCATTCAATACACTTGCAAGGTAGCTTACTCTGCACCAGTTTTTAGGATAGGACATTGTTTGCTTCATTGCATTACTTGGGAGTCTATTGCTCACATTGCCTATACTGAAATAGAATCTGAAGTGAGTCTCCAAAGTTAACAATTGTTTCAAATTGAGATAAATCATTTTTAATGTTTTCTGTCTGATTTGCAGTTGTGTAGGAAAAATATTTAATTTCTTCATGCATGGAACAAAACTCTGCAGGGCTCAAAAGTAAGTTAGTATTCTAGACTACAAAACATACAAACATGCCTTCATAAAAGGTTAAAGAGAAGTGGAATGCACTAATTTAAGAGCAATAAGGAATTTTTGGTAACCAAATTATTCTGTCTTAATCCTTTTGAAAAGGTTTCATTCATAATCTGTGGTTATTTATCTTTTCTTCAGTTTGCTGTTTTTGAGCTAGTACCCTGTTTTACCCAAAATAAGACATTCCCTAATAATAAGCCCAATCGGGCTTTTGAGTGCATGGCAATAAGGCCAAGTGCTTATTTCAGGGTTCAAAAAAAATAAGACATGGTCTTATTTTCGGGGAAACACGGTAAAATCATAATTTGCAAGTTCTTGGTTTCTTCAAGCTATATTTTCATTACTTGTTGCTATGCTGATTGAAGAGTAAATGTTGCAAAACTACTTTAGTGCATGCTAATACACTATATCAGGTTTATGTAAACATTAATTTATGACTACATATTTCTTCTGAAGTTAAATTACTATTGCTGTTTCTCAAATGTTAAATTTGTGAATTCTAAGGATTTTCTGTTTCATCTTTAAAGGTAACTACTAGCACAATCACAATGAAGGATCATCCTTTGACTGGGAGCCAAATCAAAGTTGAGCAATTATTTGAAGACTCTGGAAATAGAAGGAGCAGTACTCTGCAATCCACTGGAATAAATGGCTCTGAAAGATCATTTCCGACTCCAGTAAAAAATAAAAGCGCTGATAGTGTCTGCACCATCAAAAATAGTGGCAGCTCAATAAAAGCACAGAAAGCTGGTTGTCAGTCTGCAGAGCAAGCACTGAAGCAATATAAACAGCATTTAACAGCCTATGAGCAACAAGAAATATTTAATTTTCCTGAAATCTATTTTGTGGGTCCAAATGCAAAGAAAAGACAGGGAGTTAGTGGTGGCCCAAACAATGCTGGATATGATGATGAACAAGGCAGCTACGTTCATGTACCTCATGACCATCTTGCGTACCGATATGAAGTACTTAAAATAATTGGGAAAGGCAGCTTTGGCCAAGTAGCTAAAGTGTTTGATCACAAACACCACCAACATTTGGCTCTAAAGATGGTGCGCAATGAGAAACGGTTTCACCGGCAAGCGGCAGAAGAAATACGCATCCTGGAACATCTCAAAAAGCAAGATAAAACTGGCAGCATGAATGTTATTCACATGCTAGAAAGCTTTACCTTTCGGAATCATATATGTATGACTTTTGAGCTCTTGAGCATGAATCTATATGAGCTGATCAAAAGAAACAAGTTTCAAGGCTTCAGTGTGCAACTTGTACGTAAATTTGCCCACTCAATATTGCAATGTCTGGAGGGGCTATTCAGAAACAAAATTATACATTGTGACTTAAAACCTGAAAATATTCTTCTGAAACAGCAAGGACGGAGTGGAATCAAAGTAATAGATTTTGGATCTAGTTGTTTTGAACACCAAAGAGTTTATACTTACATACAGTCTCGGTTTTACAGAGCCCCAGAAGTTATCCTGGGAAGCCGCTATGGGATGCCCATAGATATGTGGAGTTTCGGCTGTATTCTGGTGGAACTTCTGACTGGTTATCCTTTGTTTCCAGGAGAGGATGAGGGTGATCAGCTAGCTTGTATGATGGAGCTCCTTGGAGTGCCTCCACAGAAATTGCTAGACCAATCCAAGCGAGCCAAAAACTTCATCAATTCAAAAGGTCATCCTCGCTATTGCAGTGTAACAACTCAAGCAGATGGGAAAGTTATTCTTAATGGTAGCAGATCACGAAGGGGTAAAATGCGCAGTGCTCCAGGCAACAAGGACTGGATCACAGCATTAAAAGGCTGTGATGACTCTTTGTTTATAGAGTTCTTAAAAGAATGTCTTAATTGGGATCCTTCTGCAAGGATGACTCCTAGCCAAGCTTTAAGACATCCTTGGATTTGTAAACGAGTACCTAAGCCTCCCAGCGTGGATAAAAGTTCAGGCAAACGGATTGCTCACTATACAAGCGCTTTCCCAGGGATAAATTCCAGATTACCCCCAGTTGTTGGGGTAGCGAACAAACTGAGAGCTAATCTAATGTCTGATTCAAATGCCAATATACCTCTATGTACTGTGCTACCAAAACTGGTCAGCTAATAGAGAATTATATATTCCCAGGGTACATATTCTGTGTTTATTATTATCTCCTTGAATGACAAAGAGATTAGTGTAGGGCATGGGGAAAAGATTATTGAAGGCTGAAACTTGTGTAAAAAAAACCTGAATGAAAACAAGCATTTTAAGGGCTATAATTATTTAATCAAATTGTTTCAGCTAGAATGGGATGCTTATTGTATACATTTGTTTTATTCAGTGAGATCACATGATGTATAACAGATTTTAGAGCAGTGTTATAATAAACCACAAAATCACTTGTTTATGCAGGCAGTCATGTAACCAGAAAATTGAGTGCAATGTGGTTTCAAGATAATTGCACTTAATAGTAAATTCCTTACAGAACGCTGGTCAAAAAGCACAACTTCTTAAGCTTTTTGTTGTTTAGGAATTACTTTGTAGTACTTTCTACATTTAACTACAAGATTTCTGAGTTTGCAAAATTAATTTACGAACTCTCCTTCAAATTTCTTGCAGACAAGCACCTTGCAAAAATGTGTGGTGAGCCAGAGCTATGAAGATAATAGTTTTTGGACTCTCATTTTAATGTTTTTAATTCTTCATTCCAACATTTTAAATTGAATTAATTGATCACAAATGGAGATAAAAATATTTCAGAGAAAATTTCTTGTGTATTAAAATAAGTTGCTTTTAGTAAAGGACAAACCAAGCAAAATGCTGTTTTCAAATCTCAGTTAAATGCAAAAAAAAAAATGGGTGCTTCAGATATTTTGTACAGGAAAATGTAATGGGCAGCATCTGGATACTGGAAAATAAAACTATTTTTACTAGCACAAATAAGCTTGCCTCTTGGTTTTCCCATTCAGGATCTTGATTATGAAGACTTGATCTTTAGCAAAGGACAAAACAATACTACTCAGACCTGAAGTACAGTTTAGCTATATGGTGCAAATTTATTGAATCACTATTAATGGTAGCCATTTACATTGGATATGGATATTTACTAATCAATTAAACTATTATTTAAATTCCATTTTCCACATTGGATGCATTCTATGTTGTAGCTAATAATTTGTAGAACAGCTAATCACTGAGAAATCAATTTGCTTCCTCTTGTTTTTGCGTTTACTCTCATGAGTTAATGTCACATATGCTAGATTAGATATTCTGTCAACGGTTCATTCAGATTGCAATGCAATTTCTGTACATCTGTTAATACTACTACTACTACATAGGTAGGAAAATGTGAAGAGTCCTCAAGAATGGAGATTTTATAGATGCTAACTTTTCAGAACCAGAAAGCCCTATTGCATTTACGTATAAATTATTCCATTTCCAAATAGATATCTTAATTTCTCTATTTCAGATTGTTGGATTGTTACATCTGCCTAGCCATTTAAGATTATTTGAAATTAAGAATTCTGTTTTAACAGTAATAATGATCACGGTTGAGGCTTTTTAGATTGTGAACATCCTCAAGGCGATTCAAATAAAAATATTTTATTGAAGTAGCAGACATTGAGTGCACAAAGCATTGCATATATCGTTCTAGAGATATGTCCAGTGACCTCATGGGATTTATTCCCTAATTCATTTGTATAGCACAATTTAAAGGAACCCTCTACTTGAATAGTTTTTTTTTTTTAATTCGCTTGGAATAAAGTATTTCTCTTATTGACAAATATCATGTGTATTACAAATGTACTGTTTTTTATTTTTAAGGTGCATGGTTTAACATAACGTGAAATAATTATGACATTAATATTGCAGATAAGGAACAATCTACTTTCACCTTGGCAAGACAATCTTCTGAAAATCGTTATTTTGCTGCATAAACATTTAATGTTTATTGCATTTGTATGCCATTCATTCTATTAATTGAGGAATTTGGGGCAATTTACAAAGAAAATAAAATCATGAAGTAAGAGCAAGTACAATAAAAAACCCTGTAACATTGAAAACTTGACCTTAGTTGCACATTTATAGCTGATTGCATTTTGTTTTTTAATTGTTCATCCTTTGTATAAAATATAATAAATTTCCACAAAAATATCTACAAGCTATACCGACATATCTGGGGTACATTATAGCTTGTTATTTTTTATAGCTTTAAATAATGCTGAATCCTGCAGATAAAAGTCACCATCAATAAAATCGGGGTCACTTGGGGAAATAAAATACAAACATAGTCCTTGACTTACAAAAGTTCATTTAGTGACCGAAGTTACAACAGCACTGAAAAAAAAGTGACTTATTACCGTTTTTTCACATTTATGACTGTTGCAGTATCCCCATGGTCATGTGATTTACATTTGGATGTTTGACAACTGGTTCATGTTTGTGATGGTTTCAGTGTCCTGGGGTCATGTGATCACCTTTTGCGACCTTCTGACAAGCAAAGTCAATAGGGAAGCCAGATTTACCTAACAACCATTTCATTAACAACTGCAATGATTCACTTAACAAATGTCACAAGAAAAGTCATAAAATGGGGCAAAACTCAGCAAACATCTCACTTGGCAACATAAATTCTGGGCTCAATTGTGATCATAAGTCGAAGACTACTTGTATTTGATTGAAAGCTTACCAAATAGGTTTCATTGTAAACAATTTTCTCTTTAATTACTATCTTTAAGCTTTTTTTAAAAGGGCTTCCCCTTCCATTTTCTTGTTTCTTTGACAGAAAAAGCTCCTCCATGATAATTCTTGCTAATTCAAGGAGAATAATACACAAACAGATGGTGTATCGGGATTAGCAAGACATTTCCCTTGCCTTTAATAGACAATTCGTTATGGAAGCAAAAATCTTCAAAAATTATTTGCATCATTTCTCCATCTTATAACATCTGTAAAACGATATTTTCTATTAAAGAGTATCTTTTCTGAAATTTTTGGGTTTTTATCATTCCTATTAAGAAAGGAAGTTAATTTAGGCATACGGTATTTGTAAGTGAGGTAACTGATACAATTATGTAATTTCATGAATTGAGGAATAAAATCCTACAGTAACCGTCCATTTCTATAAAATGGCCGTTGAGGAAAATGCAACAACAGCACATTGGCTTATTTAGCATTTGGCGCTGGTCTCTAATATTCTGTATCCATAAGTAGACAGGGTTTATTGGTATTGTTTTATACCCCAAAAGTTTTCTATTTTGAAATAATGTTCATCTAAATGTGGGAACTAAGTTAATCTCTGCACACTAACTTGGTTGGTGTGCAGATGTGGTGAAAGACTAGTAAACAAAGCAATGACAGCAGAACTACCAAGAATGCTGTGTCCAGTTCAAGCTGCTTTGTATTTTAATATCTAATTGCAAATCAGCCTTATTAAATAAATGCTTAAATAATGTTAATGTTTAATATTAAGTAAATATTTGGAGAGGCAAACAAAGAATCCAAGGTATAAACTGGACTTAAAGGAATTAATCCTAGTCTTCATTTAAAGAGAGTCCAATAGAAATCTTGAGGTGAATAAATAAAGCCATCTCTTCATTTATTCAGAAAAAAATAATATACATTCTGCCAACAGGTGGGTTTTTTTCTTCCTATTACTGAGCTGTTTAAAACAGCTCATACTTCCTCCTTTACACTCCTAACTTCATTCCCCGCTTGGAAATAACCTTGTGTCAGTTTGTCCTTTCGTGCTTATTATAATTAGTTATGTGGATTATCACTCAGCCTAAATACAGTCTAGGGCAGGCTCTTGCTATAGGCATATGGTCAGGACAGACAATCTTGGGAGATTCTATTTTAGTTTCTGTAGTGAAGAAGGGAGAGAAGAGGAAAAGAGGATTTATTTCAAATGTGTCATAGCATTTCATGGATATTCCTTAATCATTTTTATGTCCATCCTCTGGCTTCAGTTATTTTTGGCAAGTTCCTAATGGCTCCCCATGTTTTCTTTTTCCTTTTATGAATGTATGCATGGCTTTGACTGCTGAATGTTAAAAGCTATTGTATAAGTCGCAAATCTTTGCTCAGTTGTTTAAAGATCATAGGAGGAATTCACAGGAAACATCACCACATAAGACTGGCTTCAGAAGTACAGCAGAGACCGCAAAACAAATAACTTCATCCGTTAACCCAGTGTTTCTCAACTTTAGCAACATTTTAAATTGTGTGGACTTCAACCAACATGCTGGTTGGGGAATTGTGGGACTTGAAGTCCACACATCTTAAAATATGAAAGAAGAGGAAATAAATCAGAACAGATTATTAATTTGGAACAACCTTTTAGCCCTTGCACTAATTTTTAGGTATATCTGTTTAGCATATTTTGCAAGTAAAGTGAGCATGTGATCCTTTCTAACAGCACTGCAGCTTCATAATTATTCATCTTCCATGGCCATGACAACAGGGTCAATAGAAGCAATGTACTAAGTGCATTATATCATCTATTAAGATCTTGTTAAGTGCCAATTCCAGATTTGGAACCATGGATGCTTGCTTGCAGAGTTACCTAATATGGTGATTAGAATTATCTCCTACCCAGTGCTGTTATATCCATTCAAAAGTGTTTTTAGGTACTCTTGCATCCATCAGAAAACAGCTTCAGTCATTCCAATCTATGAAATCTTTTCTAAAGAGTGCATATCAGCTATCTCATTTGTTATCATGCCTGTTCTCTAAACAAACATTCCCTTAGTATGTCTGGTTGTTTTTCTTCCTTCAAGAAGTCATTTGTGCTCTTTGTTTTTCCATAGACTCCATTTTGCACAAATAGATCATTTGATATTTGTAAAAATGCTGCTAAATTGCTTTATTGCTATTAGTAGATTTATTTTCACATTGCAGCTTCTTCATTTTGAGTTATTTCCATATTACAAGTTCTGCTATTGAATAGAAGTGGACGTGCCTATGTTCAGATCTTCGACTTTTTATTTAAAAGTTTCCTTTGCTGCTGGGAAAGTCCCATGTCTGCTATGCAACCAATCATAATGCATTTCTTATTTAGTTGGATACCTAGTTTATTATTCAGCTCTCCTCAAACTGGTATTCTCCGCATATGTTGTGGAAACAAGTCACCAAATTTCTAGCCAACATGGCTGAAGAACAGAAGAGTTGACATTTCAGGGAGTTACAGTCTGAAGAGCATCTCCGAAGGGCCCCAGCTAGTCTGTCTCAAAAAAATCCTGTATATTTCCTGGAATCTCTGCAGGTTGAAGTTGCTTTGTCATCAGCTTTTAAGTTGACATTCACATTATTTGAAAGAAGAATTGAATAAAATGTAAATTCAGCTCAAACGGTATGGGCACTTCTATATTAGCACTGTTTTCATACCCCAATCCTCCCAAAGCAGTTTGAAATGGATTTCCAATTGTCTTCATGTTGCCAATACTGAAATGCAGGGAACATGCTGCCAATGAGTCATGAGCTAATTACTACCCTTTCCCCCCCCTACTGGGAAATACAAAACATTAGTTCAATTGATGCCCTGGGCTTTGTGCTTTCCTGGGTCAAAAGGATCCCTATTCCATGAAAAAAAAAAATGGCAGTGGGGAAATTAATTGCTAGTCTACACCCACCCTCATCAACACCCCATGAGTGGTAGATAAGATCAGAAGTTATGGAAAGGAAGGTAGTTTGCTTCCAAATAATAAAAAAAATATATCAGCGTTCTGTCATTGCTTCGCATAAAAAAACAACTGAAGACATAATAATATACAGGTAGTCCTCGAGTTACAATCACAATTGAGCCCAAAATTTCTCTTGTAAGCAAGATAATTATTCTGTTTTGCCCCATTTTGTGACCTTTCTTGCCACAGTTAAGTGAATCTCTGCAGTTGTTACGTTAGTAACATGGCTGTTAGCTGAATCTGCCTTCCCCATTGATTTTGCTTGTCAGAAGGTTGCAAAAGTTGATCACTTGATCCCAGGACACTGCAATCGTCATAAATACATGCCAATTGTCAAGCACCTGAATTTTGATCACATGACCATGGGGATGCTGCAATAGTTGTTAAGTGTGAAAAATGGTCATTAGTCAGTTTTTTCAGTGCCACTGTAACTTTGAAGAGTTACTAAATGATTGGTTGTAAGACAGGGACTATCTTGTAGCATCATGAGTTCTGCCACCAATTTTCCCCAGTGTCTTGAAGCATGTTTACATGCAGCATGTAGTAGCTTGAGTGGGGATTAGGATAAGTCCATAAACAAAGCAGAGAGTTTCAAGAATTCTATTTTAAAATTGAGCCAAGATTGCCTCCTGCTATTTTAACTATTTATGACTTCCTTTCCTTTCTGTTTCATAAATACTGAATGCAGCGAATAAAATTTTCAAACAGCAACAGAATATAAAAAATTTAAAGCTTCAAATAAAAAATAGCTTTTAAATAGGTATTATTAACTTTTAACTTAAACATCTGGCAAAAGAGGTGTTTTGACTGGTTTACAAATTCTCAGTGCTGAGAAAATCTAAGCAAGCTCTTCAGAGGATGTGCATTCCATAACCCTGCAGCAATACAAGAAGATAGACTGATGTCAGCAGGGGCATCTTTAAAAGGGCCTCTCCTGCAGTTCTTAACAGCTGGACAGTCTTCTAACTGAACTGCCCACATGTTTTCACATTGCAAAAAGAAAAGACTTGCCCTGGTTTCAAATAAATCAACACAGTGAGGGGGGAAAAGCTGGCTTTTTAAAAAGGAGCCAGTGTCATCAGCTATGTATGGATCTGATTTTGAACTAGCTCAAAGTTTGTAGTTAGAGGTGCTGTTTTATAAATAAATGTACACCTGAGCTTTGTGTATTTTATATCTCTGTTATAAGTAATAACTAGCTCAACTAAGCAGGTTACACAACAACATGTGGTCAAGTCAAGGCATTTTCCCACTTGCATCCATTCCCATGTGGGGTGCTGCCTCTCTAAGTTTGAAGTGGACCGAGAAACCCTGAGCTCATTTCATATTGTGATGATTTCCACTAACAAGAATCATTTCACTCAAGGCAGCCTTTTATACTCAGGCTTTTAATAATTGTGTTTGAAGTCTGGGTTGCCGAGTAACCATTGAGAAAACTAAAAACAAAGTTGTTTCATTTAGTCTTCCTTTTATGTACCATATTTGTATGTGTGTGTTATTAAATCATAGACAGAGCAGCAAGCTATATTGAATTGTCTTAAGGCAATAGCATAATGTAACCCAAGCTGCTTGGCTCCTCAGTGACTCCTCTCTATTAAGCCAATTTGAGAAATTCTGCCATGGGGTGGGGTACCAATGTACCAACTTTTCCTCTCAAGGGTTGCTTTATTCTTAATAGTCCCTCTGTTTTCTTGTGCTTTCCCTGATATTTACACACAAATATTTACTCCCTCCTCCCCAATCCAACATCATTTGCTTTGACATAAATGCTGTCATAGCTCTGATGCTACAATGATAAAAGCAATAGGAATTATAGAAACAAAATTAGTTTGTTTCTATAGTCCATGGAAACTTTGCAGCAAAGAAGAATTGACTGTTTAGTTCAAAGGAACAAAATAGTTACATTGAAAGGAGAGAAGATGAAGGGAAGGGAAGGGAAGGAAATGAAAGAAGGAACATCTTGAGGTATTGTGGGGCAGGGTTTGAGAAGCAACGGAAGCATGTTTCACCCAATCTAAAAAAATATTGAAAGGTGCTCATTGGAAGATAGAAGGGTTGAATGTAACATCATTTTTTACGGTTGACAATACTGTACTACTAGATTTATTTATGTACCATTGTGGCAACATCTCCTTGTTGACTAGCAGAGAACATAGCCATCTTCAGACCAGGATAAAATGGCTACATGGGAGTGATCCAGGAGGAAAGCAGGTACGCCAGGCACTGCAGCCAGTCAGAGGTGGGGCTGCTAGAATGGAATGAAGTGCTAGAGACTATCTTGTTGTGAACCACTTAAAATGGCTCAGTCAGAAAACCATTTTCGAAAGAAGCTAGAAAACACAGGCATGACGTGCATTTGTAACAAGCTGGAAATGAGAGGAAGATGACGTTATCTGTTCCAGCACTCAGGAAGTGCTGAGTGGATCAAACTGGCAATGGGCCAAGGAGAAAGTACAGATCTGCTCTCCAAAACATCTACCAATAGAATTTTGAAAGTAAGAGAGAATTAAAAGCAGATTTCTCCTACTGAGCAGCAGCCAAACCCAACATCTGCAAGGCAGATGCTATCAAAACATCTAAAAACTCTCTTTCCTCCCAATTTTCCTTGGAAAGAAGTTGGAAGAGAATCAACCCAAGGATTCTATGTTTAACCCTTTTACTGCTTTTCTTTCCTTCTTTACAAATCAACCAACCTTTCAATGAAAACATTTCCTCTGTTGGTAAGGTCCACCCCTGGACCTCACCAAAACATGTTTTGTCCCAAAGGTGCTTTTTCAAAAGGCAATTGGACTTTGTTTTTCTTTGAAGACAGTTCATTTCTCATCCAAGAAGCTTCTTTGGCTCTGATCTGACCCCATGGGGAAGAAGAAGAAGCTTCATGGATGAGAAGCAAAATATCTTCAAGGAAAAAACAAAGTCCAGTCGCCTTTTAAAAAAGCACCTTTGAGACAACCATGACCCAGTGGCTAAGAATCTCATAAACCATAACATGTTTTCTTGCTATTAAGAAGTATGCCAGGAATTCTGCACAAGCTGAGACACAATCTTCATATTTAGAAATGGGAAAGGATTCCATTGTCTGAGAATTTCTTCTTTCTATTAAAACCATGTCCTTATGTTTGGAACTGGCCATGCTAGAACTTTTCGAAAATATGTTTAGCAGTAGCTGGCTAAATATCCAAACTCAGTGGAAAGTTTGGTGAATAAAATATTGAGAATCAAAATATGATTTTCTCCAGTAGTTGCTTCTGTGCATAGTAAAGGCAACTAATTCTACAATCAGCAGAATGACTCCTTTCAATTTTACTGAACCATAGTTGTAAAAGTTGAATAATTTTTTGAGATGAGTTAACTTTTATTTTTGCTCTGCTGCCGTACATATGCATGTGCATGCCCACCCACACTTACACAATGAATCCAAATATAATTTGTCGATCCAGCACATGCAGTACAGAAGATGCATTCTTTATGCCATCTTATTATTTATTTAAATTGCCATCTTTTATGTAGTAACCACAGGCACAAATGAACAGTGGGAAATGTCCTTACCACTTGCCAAACTTTCTGTTTCAGCAAAATAAAAGCCAAAAAAGGAGATCGTTTTACTTTTTAAAAATGAGATTCTGGCTTGCTGCAAAGTGCTAGTCTCCCACATTATGTCAAGAATGTCCCAGAAAGAGATTCTTAGAAAATAGAGAATGGTGAATTGCCAAAAACCTGGTTTGAAAGTGTGCCCAGAAACAAGGCAATGCTAGAATGGGGATCTCTGGGGCCTGGGAACTCCTCATCCTCTGGTGGTTGGGGAGGCTTTACTCTGCCAGTGATCTTGTAAACACACTAATTTAAAGCAAATAACATTTTCCAGATCTTGTGGAGTAGGTTATTTTTGTTACTTTCCATGTATACCATTTCAACATGGTTTATAAAAATAGCCATCAAAAAAAGGATGCTCTGTAACTATAGATGATGACACAGCCAGGTCTGATTTCCTTCTAATTCCAGCTTGTAGGAGAATGAGACAAATGCTACGAATTAGGAGAAATAAAAAGGAGGAGGCATCCTTCATCCCTGGACCAGCTTGGCTGTATGAAATGAAATTCTTTTGCAGTGACAGCTGTGGAGAGTTAAGCTGCGATGGGGATCCAATTGAATGTGACTGAGCATATTCCAGTACAAGCTGTGCTTCATGGCTCCAGTTGCTAGTTGCTGTTTTTCATTTCTTCTCTTTGTGAAATCCATGGACCAGTTAGTGCACCAAGTAACATGGCACCAAATGCACAAGCGTGTGTGTAAAGTAATCATTTCCATTTTCTCTGACAGTATGTTTAATCACAATTGTTTCCATCTCTTCTGTTTATTTCTAGCATCTATAGAAAAGCCAGCTTCAACCATTAGCTGTTGACACAATATCATACGATAGAAAGTTTAAAGAATAACCACTGTGGGAAGAGCAAAGAAAAACTTGGGTACATAATTTCCAAGGGAATAAAGTTACATTGTTTTATTCTCTGAATTAGTTAAATCAGGTTAATGAATTTTATATATAATGGTACACTATTTCTTTAATTATTAAATTTGATTTGAAAAGTATTACTTCTTACTTACACTATAGCGTTACTCTATTTGAAATCTGCATAAATTTGTATGAGTTTTCAGAAACAATTGCAAAGAAAATGGAGCAAGGCATTAACCTACTATTGACCCAGATGTATTCCTGCCTGAAATGGATAAAATTCAGAACTTACTGTATGTACTCTCCTTCAGACCTGAAGAAGCTTCTTGAATGAGAAACGAAACGACTTCAAAGAAAAACCGGAAAGTCCAGTTGCCTCTTGAAAAAGCACCTTTGGGGTCTCCTTCAGATTGTTTTTCATAAAGTTTCTTCTAAGCTCCATCCATTTTTATGTCTGTTGCACCTGTGACACACAAAAAATAGGCTGAACCTTGATTGTACTATTGTGGCTGACAGGTTATTCTTTTGATTATACACTATGGATATCCTGGATGGGTCCATAAGCTAAATGCGATCACAAATTTATGGAAACGCCAAGTGGCCCTACCTAGTTTCAAATACAAATACAATTCCACGGTTTTTATGCCCAACTGAGACATGTGATCATATACAGAATTACCAATTAAAGGATGCATATGTCTTATTCCACTATAGTAGGGATGGCTTTAGTGTTGTTTAAAAGTCTCCTTCTTTGACTAGATTTATCTGTTGGGAGAGGGAAGGGGAATAGAATGATGAACACAGCACACAGTAATACAACATAACCCTCTTCTCACACATATGAAAGAGATGTGCTCATGGCATGATGCTATGACACTGCTCTTATCATTCTGACAAAAGCAACAAGATGTTAAGGAAGAAGAGGATTACATTTTGCAGATGTTTTTCCTTTGTCAGAAAAAAATAATTCAGATATTGGTAAAAAAACAAAAACAAAACCACCTACCATGTTTTCCCAAAAATAAGATCCTGTCTTATATTTTTTTGAACCCTGAAATAAGCGCTTGGCCTTATTGCCATGCGCTCAAAAGCCCGATTGGGCTTATTATCAGGGGATGTCTTATTTTGGGGAAAACAGGGTATCCAAGTTCTACTGCTATAAGCCAGGTGCAAATTTCTCCTTCTGGTGTTCTGTAATATTTCTTTAGCTATCGCTCATATCATAAAAGTCCACTTTTCTTGATATCCCTATACATTTAAGACACCACAAGAACAAACTACAGGTATTCCTCAACTTATGACCAAAATTCATACTATGGTGCTATGAGTTCACTCCAAATATGGAAATAATAGAATGTATCCAAATTATATGAGTTTATGTTCCACCTCCTGGGTTGCATATTTAATATCAAACTAAATACAACCATGAAATATTAAACATTCTCTTTAGGTGTCTAAAATACAAGAAGAGTTCTCTTTAATTAGAATGCTTATATCATAGGAAACTAACTGCATATTACCATAAGCAATCTTTGATTAGTTTTCCAAAAGAGGATTTTCAAGATCATTATGCCAGTGGTCACAAAAATAATTATTTTCAGCTTCAACAACTTCCTATAAAAACAGCTTATCAGACTTAGGTATCTCAATTAATTCCTTCAACCAGCTGCAGAAGTAACAGTGGCATCTAGACCAAATAACACATGTTTGAGTTGAATATACCGTACTCTACTGACTTTTTTTAGCAAAACAAAAAACAAAACAACAACAAGGTAACGGTGGGAAAATGTCTGCAGATACAAACTCTAGTGGAGTATAAAACTTTGATCTCTATGGCTTTATTTCTTTCTTTCAAACAAACAAAACCCGCAAACCTATCTAGTGAGAAACAAAGAGAAATGCTTATGAGTTTGGGTGGGGGAAGAGAGAAGTGTCTCACCTAGCTAACTGTTGCTATTATGTTGGTTACTATATAAACAGATTTATTTCTGGCTCACACCACATACCCGATTGTAAGTCAATGCTGCATCAGCTGGCTCCATTGGCCTAGGCCTGCTATGGCTTTCCTCAAGTTTTGATTAAAGTTTCTTTAGCATTATGTGACAGCAGCTGTTCTGGCCCCAAAATGGCAATTTCCTCTAAGGTCTCTCCCCAGTCTAAGGGCGTGTAATCACTAAGGAAAAAATAGATGGTCTTTCTCCATCCCTCCACCTCTTTCAGCTGAAATAGCTGCCACCTGCCCAGGAATGTTGCTAAGAGGAGCTGATGACAGGCCAAAGTGACACAAGGCCTGTGTGTGTGTGTGTGTGTGTGTGTGTGTGTGTGTGTGTAGATTGCCAGAAACCTGACCAAATTGTTTCTGTGTGAAGTGTGAGGTCTGGAATCAGAAAGCTATAGTGGTCTCAATTTAGCAGTGACTCACACACAAATAGACACGCACAAAAAGCACTTTTTTTCATATACACTTACATTTTTAAAAATTGCATCTAGATACATGATGCTTTTTGTATTTCAAGGAGGAAAGCACCCAGGTTGCTTCTTATAATTTCATTCAGATGTTGAACCTTATGTAACACATATTTCACTATGCTATATTTTTATTTATTTAAACAAGAAGTAGAACTTTGGTTTCTTGTACCCAAGCTTGCATTACTAACATTATGCAATGGACTTATGCAATGTCACAAGGGTGCCTGGATCCGATTTGAATTTTTCTAACGCTGCAAATGTGGTGCTAAGGTCAACAGCCTTCCAATTGGCTGAAGTTTGGCTTCCCCTCCAAATATGTTGAACTTCAACTCCCAAAGGTTCTCAGCTAGGCTACTTTTGGATTATAAAAGTTGATGATCAAGGTAACATGTTGGTTGGCTGATTTATTACATTAATTTTACAATACACAATACAATACAATACTCTAGACCACCTACATTTAATCAGAGCAATAAAAAATGCACTAAAAGTATTTATAGATATAAAATTATACCTAAAATGTCAAACACAATCATGTTATGACACCTCCTTGACAGCTGCCCTCAATTATATGGTATCCTTTGCTTTTTATAGATAAAGACAATCTTGATGGCCTTCTTAAAGGTTAGGAGAGAGGAAGTCACCAACTCTTGCAGAGAAAGCTATTCAGAGCGAGATGCTATGACGGAGAATGCCTGCTTCTGGGCCCCAATCTTTTTGGCATTCTACTTTGGCTTCTACTTGGAACAAATGGTCATAAGAGATAACAAGGACCTGATCCATAAAGGCTTTTTAGATAATCAGCAACACCTGGAATTGAGCCAATGCAATGCCTTGTGGTAATGATTCTCACTTACCAGCAAGGAGGAGTTGCATTTTGTACCAACTGTAGCTTCAACATCTACAAGAGAAGTGCAATATAGAAAGGATTACAGCAGTTCAAACATAAGGCAATAATGCCATGAGTCCCTGGAGCTAGAGCCTTTTGATCCAGATAAATCACAACAGGCATACAAGCCAAAGCTAGTCAAATACTCTTCCGGCTACAGTGTCTTTTCAATCTAGCAAAAGCTGCAAGTTCATGAAAACCTGCTGATTGAGCACCTGCTCCTACTATGATTGATGGTATCAAGTGCCACTAAGAGATAAAGCAAAATAATTGAGACTCATTTGTACTCCAAGTCCTGTTGCATGTTATCCAGAATAGCAGCCAGTGTGGTTTCTGTCCCATTGCCCTTGAGCTTGAACTCATACTGAAAGGGATCCACATAGTCTGCTTCATCTGGGCCTCTTTGCTGTTTCTCCTCCTTCACCGTCTCTATTACCTTCTTTAAAAAGAGAAGCTGACTTCAGAAGTCAAGAAAACTGCTGTTGCTGAAGTATGGGAGTGAGAATAAATGATAGATCTTATAATTATCTCCATATCATCACTAGGTTACATATTTTATTATGCATTGGAATGATGCAGATCTGGAGAGATAATGCGATGTAGTCGTTAAAGTTCTGGACTAGGAGAAGGAAGAACCTGGCTCTAGTCTTTCCAAGGCATGGAACCCAACTGAGTGACTTTGGGCTAGTCAGTCTTTCTCATCCCCAAATTATGAAGTCAAACAAACATTGTCCTAAAAGACAATGCTAAACTACTTATTTCTGTACTGTTACCAAGGCGACTACATGGTCCTGGCAGACTTAAAACCATCTCTCTCTTTCTCTTTCTCTTTCTCTTTCTCTCTCCCTTTCTCTCCCCCCTCTCTCTGTGTATGTGTGTCTTTCAACTTGAAAACTACAATCTCTCTCTCTTGCAATATTTTATTATTTAAATTGCTCTGCTACCACAGTTATTATGAATGGCCTAAAATTTACTTAAATGTCGTTATAAATGATTGAGTTTCTACTAAAATACCTAAAATGTTTCATACTATGTTTATTTTGCAGAGTCACTGCAAAATGACTCTGATGAGCTACCAGATATATTCTCATACCTTAATTTTCATTCTGGAATTTAGATGGCTATGATGAGGTTAGAAAAGAACGGGGAATGTATCCCAGGGAAAATAAACAATATATAGTATAATAACATATAATGTCTTAAATGACATATCCACCTGTAAACCTTACAACCAACCATTATGGTAAATTACAGAGAGCAAGGGCAGGGAGCTAAATATGTGCCAAAGAATAGTTATCTTTTGAAAAACTGAACTATATGCAAAAGTTTCCTGAGTTAGACAATTAATCAGTGGAATGACTTGCCTCCAGAAGTTCTGGGTACTTTAACACTGGAGGCTTTTAAGATGAGATTGGACCACCATTTGTCTGAAATGTTATAGGGTTTTCTGCTTTAGCATGGGGTCAGACCAGGGGACAAATCCAGCAGGTTCTGACAGGTTCTGGAGAACTGGCAGCAGAAATTTTGAGTAGTTTGGAGAACCGGAAAATACTATCTCTGGCTGGTCCCAGAGTGGAGTGGGAATGGGGATTTTGCAATATCCTTCCCCAGGAGTGGGGAGGGAATAGGGAATTTGCAGTATTCTTCCCCTGGAGTGGGGTGGGAATGGAGATTTTGCAGTATCCTTCCCCTGCCATGCTCACCAAGTCACGCCCACCAAGCCACACCATGTCCACCAAGCCACGCCCACAGAACCGGTAGTAAAAAAAATTTGGATTTCACCACTGGGTTGGACCAGAAGACCTCCAAGGTCCCTTCCAATTCTGTTATTCTGTTAAATCTGTTCTATTAAAATGTGTCCAGTGCAACCTGAATTGCTTTTGATGTTGATATACTCTGCTACAGAGTAGGCATTATTTAGTCACCTAGTGTAACTGTGTACAATCTTAAGTGAGATTAAAATAAGTTTTCTTGGTTTTTATGGAGGATGAGGAGAGAAGTTACAAATAGCAAGAATGGACAACAATTCATAACCCAATTGCTAAAGCAAAATCAATGGATGTTAGGTATCATGGATGCATTTTATAGAGTTAGTGTGAAAGGAGGAAGGGTAGATTCTGAACAACAATCAGCAGTTCAGATGTATCTTCGATAGAGCTCTGTGAATTTTCTCTCTGCAACGCTTGAAAAAAATCTACTCTGTCCTTGGTTATCTTAGACCATGCTCATTTCTGAATAGCTCAGATATTATTATTCTTGTCAGGGATGGTTGTCTATTTCCTGTTCACAATGAAGAACTTGTCTACCTAGGTGATGGAGCATGGGAATAGGATGCTGATAGAGTAAACCTGAGATTCCTGCTAAATTTGCATTTGGAATAGGCTTCTGCAGAAGCTGCTGAGGCAGAAAGATTAAAGCCAAGCATAGCTTGTATTAACTGTAGACAGGAAATGAAAAAAAAAATCCTTGAATTAAGCAAACACACTTCTAGCCTGACGCTAAAGCAAACAGCAGCTTTAATGCTAAGTGGAATAAGAAAAGGAAGCAGAACAAGAGAAAAACAAAAAGCTAAGCTCTATTATAAATAGATTAGAGAGAACAACGGTCAATGCCTGTCAAATAACACTGAATAAATCAGGAAGGTTAGGATTTCATTTTTGAAAAGAGTTGTCTGGTGATTCCACACATTAAAAACAAAAAGATAAAAGTGCAATTAAGATTTGAAAAGGTTCATTGTTACACATGAATCTGAGAACAAATGATCTCATTTTGAGATAATGATCCCATTAACTAATGGATTCATATTTAAGAATGAGATTGAATTTAAAGCTCATGTTGGGAAAATCAGTTCTGGTGCATGTTTCCATGTTTCTTTTAAAATTATTATGTTTTAAAACCAATAGAAATATTCACAGAATGTTACAAATAGTAAGAATTGCAAATGAAACTACTGAATATCTATTGTTACCAGAAAAACTATATTACAATAATGAAACAAAACAATGAAAACTAAGGAAAAGAAAAAAGAAAAAGAAAGAAAAGGGGCAGAAAAAAAAGGAAAATGAAATTCCACTTTTTAAAGTTGCCAAATAATATTATGTACATACTCCTTCACTTATGACCATTCACTTAGCAACTGTTCAAAATTATTACAGCGCTGAAAAAAGTGACTTATAATGGCCTCACACAACTATCACAATGTTCTCATGGTCATTGATTGCAGTGCCCTGGTGTCACATGATCTCCATTTACGACCTTCCAGCAGACTTCCAACAAAGTCAATGGAACAAACCAAATTTGCTTAATGTCTACAGCAAAAAGATTGTAAAATTAGGTCACTTAATGCTCACTTAATGACCTCTTTGTTCAGCAATGGGAGTTCCAGGCCCAATTCTGGCTGTAAGTCAAAGACTACCTGTAGCCTTCGGTTTTTAAATAGCGAATGAAGCCTAGATCATACAGAGTGATATTGTGCAGTCTTGCTTTTCTGCTGATTCAAGAGCATGTTGAAGGCTGAGAGCAGCCATATTTCATGAAGCCATACTTTAAAATCTGGTACATACACCAGATCAAGAATACAAAATGTTTCTCATAATAGATGAATGGCTGGAAAAACTGATGGAATTAGAATATATCCAACTTTGATTCTACTTGGTAAATACTTCTGATTTTGTGCTTGAGGTGGAAAAAATTAAACTCCGATTTTCGGTTATACTGATTATATAAGTTTGTTGTTATAGAAATAGCTAGTACATATTGAATATGTAAAAGTAAAAAGTTGAAGTTGTAATGTTATTATTTTATTCTAATGCACTAAAAAGGGTCGGAAGTTGATGTTTTTTTTCCTTCCCTCCTCTTTATTCTACACTTCT